CCCTCCAAAAAAAAAAAAAAAAAAGCTGGCAAGGCACCACTTTTCTATTAGACAGGACGACTTGGCGACAGGAAGCTCTTCCCCCTTACTTCAACATAGTTCCTCTTGTAACAAAAGTGGCACAAGATGGCGCCAAAGCAATACTTTATGAGACATGACTGTTGTCTTGGACGGCCCGGTGGTCGACCAGTTAGCGTGTCGGTCTCACAGTACAGAGGTGCAGGGTTGGATTCGGGCTCCGGCCTTCCTGTGTGGATTTGCATGTTCTCCCCATGCCTGCGTGGGTTTTCTCCGGGTACTCCGGTTTCCTCCCACATTCCAAAAACTTGCGCAGCAGGTTAATGGAACACTCTAAATTGTCCCTAAGGGTGAGTGTGAGCGCGAACGGTTGTTCGTCTCTGTGTGCCCTGCGATTGGCTGGCAAGCGGTTCAGGGTGTCCCCCGCCTACTGCCCGAAGACGGCTGGGATAGGCTCCAGCACGCCCCCGGCCCTTGTGAGGATATGCAGATCGGAAAATGGATGGATGGATGGAATTTGTCTCGACAACAAAAACCATAAATTGCAGGAGAATTCATGATTAGCAGATCACGATTAAGCAGGGGAACACTAATATGCCGAGTCAATTATTACACTACCAAATAACATTTTTACCATGATTAGTCATTTCATGACAATTCACAAAGTTCCTGCTGTTACTGATGCACTTTCCGGCATTTATGTGGTTTCACACTGTGACTTAAAAAATAAATAAATAAAAGGTTTGCCACCCTGCGCTGGATGAAAGACTCCCTCACCTTTTTGTCCAGCGTCACCCCCATGAGGGGAAAGACCACGGCGCACGATGGCGGAATGAGCTCATTGTCGGCGAAGCTGAGCCACTGCCACACCTCACTCTGCTGCTTCACACCCGCGCCGGCCCTCTTCCCTTGCACGGCCAGGTACCAGGCCACGGCGTTGGCCCCGCTCAGCACGGCGCCGCCGTCCCCCGCGCCCAGCACCAAGGCGGGAGTGGAGCGGGCGCAGAGATTGGCGGGGGGGTTGTCAGTGACGATCTTGACGCCAGAGGACGGCCACGCCTCGGCGGCGAGGAGAGCCAGCAGGCTCCGGAAGTCATCGGGGTGGGGGGACACGTAAAGAGTGGCCATCCCTGATGGAGACACACAACCAAGGATTCAGACTACAAAAATCAACACTGGAAACAGGCATTATTCGCATCTAACATGAACTCTAAGTAGACAAAATGTGATGCATGCAATGTTTTTAGGGCAACAAAGGACAGTCAAAACAAGATTTTATTTACCATGGGAGATATGTAACAGATTTTGCAATGTATCCTTTTGACTGTTTTTATTATTACGTGATTTGGGGAAGAATTCACGTGGGCCAATTGACATTTGTTGAATGAAATATAACAACATGATTACTTTTCTAAGGGGCAAAAATAATCAATCATTATCGGCAATAATGGCTGTACATTTAATTAATATCAGATTGATGCACAATTTGTCTGTGTTTCCAATACCCCCATCTTACAAGTACTTTAAGGTCCTATGTCTCTCAGTATGGCTTTGAGGTTGACAAGCTGTAGCCCTTTATTGCTGAAGTTAGACATGACCCTAAGGTCAAGGTCATCTTTATTGTCAAATATGCTTTATGTATGAAATGACTAAGAAGTAAGCATGCTCGCCAATTCCAGGGCACATACACAGAAACGAGATTTCACACTCAAATTTACATAATGGAAAAACACAGTGTTCAATGAACCTGTCAGATATGGTTGGCAAATATGTAATGCAGCCGCAGTATTTGGTCTGCATGTCGAAGGAGATTCGAAATCAGACTTTGTAGACTGTGGGGCAGACATGCCAAGCACTCATCACCATTACATATTTTATAGAGCCATTGTAGTTGTGTATGAAGTTGAGTATGCATCGTATATTGGAGTTGAATTCCAAACAGACGAGCGGCGAGAAAGTGAGCCGCTTAAGTTTGATTGTCGCCACCTGTCAAAATCTGACTCAAGTCAATGCTAAGTTAGCTCTCGCTTTCAAACACAGTCAAACACGAATTTTAGCCACAATCGCGTGCTTAGTACGAGAGAAAAGACGTTGTCTGAAAGTGGTAGCGTGGTGAGGCTAAGTATGTCCACGCGTGCGATGCTCCTACCTTTGAAAGAAACAATGAAAGACGTCAGCCGGTCAAAAAGCTGCTCGCCGCGTGAGATCTCTCACGCCACACTGAGCGATCTGATGCAATGAGACGCCACTTCCGTGTTGCGTCACTTCCGCCCCGGCACGGAAGTCTCCAAGTAAACTTTTTGCAACTATTTTTTTTTTAAGACGACTGAAACACACATCGTTTCGTTATTAAAATAGTCGTTAAAAATTGTAATCTATTCTTTAATGTTTTGTTTTGTTTTTAGAAAATTTGTCATGATTATTATCTCTGTTAATTTTATTTCTTACTTGTTGATAACTCATTTACATGAACGGAATCTACACTACCGATTTGAATAAACCGTTAGTGCTATTGAATAAAGGGTGGGTCGGTGTTGACTGGTTAGCACGTCCACCTCACAGTACAGAGGTGCAGGGTTCGATTCCGGCTCCGGCCTTCCTGTGTGGAGTTGGCATGTTCTCACCTGCGTAGGGTTTTCTGCGTTTTCTTCCCACATTCCAAAAACTTGCATGGCAGGTTAATGTAACACTCTAACTGGTGGTGTAGATGCATATCCTTAATCACATGTGATGACATAAGATTATTTGAGTAAAGATGTCTTGACCAAACTGGTCGCCCTTTAATTAATCATTACCGAAGAAATATCACTCAGTTTGGAGAAGGGTGGTGATTTCTCTTTTATTCAAATGTACAACACAAAAACATTGAATCATCTTTATTACAATGATTTGAAAACAAAGGCACATTCAGGGTCATCAAACAGGTCTTGCCTTTACCACACATCAGAGGTCATTTGCAAACAAAAAAAACATTTTAAATGGTCAACAGTGATTTAAAGGAGATATATTTGACTTTTTTTCCCCCAATCTACAATTTAAAACAGTTCCTGAATGTCTTAACGTGTCTGTGGCATGTCACTTAATGCCATATTTGTTGTGTTGCTGAAATCAGCTGCTTTTGAAGGGTTGGCCTTGTCTGATGTGAGTGGGCAACGGTGGGTTTGTTACCTTGACCACTCAGGGGGCGGGCACCGAGCCTTGCTACAAGAGCGGCACCCCACCAAACACAAATTCCCCCACCCACTGGCACCAATTTCACAGAGATTAAATGTGTGTCACTTCGTAGAAGCTAATGCTAATTTGAGCATCCAATGAAACTCAATGCAGCTTTGCTTACATTTTGGCTTTGACGTAATACTGTAAGGGTGTCACACGAGTTGGGGAACTTCAATGTGGTCCACAATGACCGTGAGTTGAGTTTCTTAAAATAGGTTTTCAGAGTTGTCCAGCTGTTGCCTGAAAGTGGCACTGGATCTTCACCCAGCCTTGCTTCAAAGTCTTGGGCAGAGAAGCAATGTAGGTGCTTATTATGTAAATTCTCGACATTATTATGACAAAGTTTGTGGACGTGCAGAATATCTTGCTTGCAGACACATTTTACAAGTTGCCAGATAAAAGAGATTCGATTTTTAGACTTGATGGGTGGGGCAGGAAATCGAGAGAGCCAACTTCTTTTTCATAAACTGTTAAAAAGTCGATTTTTGTCAAGATATCCCCTTTAAATAGATTAGAAGAATCGTTTCCAGCACAAGAAAAGCAAACCCACTCCAAAATGTTCCTACTCAGTCTCTGACAAATCAGTGTGGACCGGTGTCGTTTCCCTCTCCCGTCCAAAACCTTCCGTGAAGGCCCCGAACACCACATCCACCACCCCAATAACGATGCTCCCTCCCACGAAGACGGTATTGAACACGCCGGCAACGCTTCTCCACGCCAGCCGGCCCGTCCCCTCGCCAACAGCTAGCGCCTGATCCCCCATCTCCATGGCCACCGTCCCGGCGTAGTCCCCGCTCTGCCTCAGAAGACGCCCCCCGAAGAACTTGCTTACCCGCCAGGTCTTGCCCAGGGCGTTTCCGCATATCCCGACCGTGTCGCCGGCCAGGGTCCCCACGCCGGTGACCCCCGTGTAGCAGCTGTTCAGCAGTGCGGCAAGCATGGAGGAGGCGCAGTAGTAGAGATTGTAGATGCAGTCCATCAGGAAGTCCAGCAGCGTCTCAGCCACCCAACGTACCCACGACAGCAGGTCCGACGTCAAGAGGTAGAAGAGGGAGAAGAAGTCTCCTGGGAGGGCAGTGAGGACGCCGAGGTCCTTCCGGAGAACGTATGTCACCTGTATGAAAAGGCACAATGGGAAAGTCATGACCTCAAATAAAACATGTTTTTTTTTTGTTTTTGTTTTTAATCAATCTTTAGACTTATAAATATATAGATTACATTTCGGCCAGCTTTGGGAATGTTTAAACGGAGCTGAAAAAGTACTACCAAATAGAAATCAAATGAATTTAAGGTTATCTCAGATCGAGTTCGGGAACATGATGTATGCTGAATTCAATCACGCTTAACTGTGCAAAACAAGATCAAGTCGTCTCAAATGGGATTCGCAAAACGTGTGGATGGTAAATTGAATTTAGATGTCCAAAATTACAATTCGAAAATCAGTTTCAGGTCATGTCGATAGGTTTCGGAAACATGGCAAATGTTACACCGAGGGGAAATTTGTGAAATCAAATACAATAAACCAGTTATCTCAGGTGGCGTTCAGAAAAAGGACAATGAATTCAATTAGAAAGTCGATTAATGAAAGAATAAGAATGAATAAAACTAGAAAAAGTCAGTGGAAATTTTGAAAAAGGGTGGATGACAAAATGAACAAAAAAATTGCCACCTACAGTATAAGAGAGCGTTTGGGACAATTGTAAAAATTGTAAAAAAAAAAAAGTTAAAAATGTTAATTTAGATGAGGTCTCATCAAATCAAAAATAATTCTGGTTATCCCTGATGTGATTTGTAAAAAGTGCAAATATTAAATAATAATAATAACACACAATACTTTGAATAATGAATACGAAATAGCAAAGCCTGAAGCAGATCTTTTACCTGTCCAGGGAATTGTGTGATTCTGGAGAAGAGGGGCCTGAGTGGAGCTTTGAGGATGGACAACGTGGTGGAGAAGATGCTGACCACAATGTTGCTGGAATTGCCGTCTGCCTTGTCCTTTTGTTCAGCGACGCGTTCAACATCACGCGTCTCATCAGCCTCCTGAATGCCACCGTCGCTCTCCTTCCCTCCCGTGGATTTCTCCGTCACATCCGAGTCCCTTCCACCCTCCTTCTCCCCTGCGGATTTCTCCGTCACATCAGAGTCTCTTGCATCCGAGTGACTCGCAGCTTGAGTGGAGTCCAAATCTTCAGCCTTGTCCGTTGCACCCTCTTGGGTTTGAAGATCCAACGTGACCGCGGCCGACCCACCGTTCGCCTCCCCGCAGCCTCCGGAGAACAGCTCCTGCACTCCCAGCGTATCTTGCAGCTCCTCAACGCTCAATTGCTTCACGTGGACATAGTCATGGAGCGACTCGCTAATTATGGCCATGCCGAAGCCGCCGTGGCCGCCCGGGACGGAGCAGCACGCCGCGGACCACAGCACCTCCGCTGCACCGTCCTCGACCCCGGTTAGGACGTAGAGGTCCCCGCCAAGAGCACTGCATTGCGAGGCAGCGCCAGAGCGGAGCACACTGGAGATGAGCCAATCCCAGCGTGGGAGGGGGGCGTCCGTCGAGGGTGTTTCGTGGTCGCCTCCTCGGAGAAGCGCTGGAATGAAAATTTGGACTCCGTCCTTTTCCATTGACTGTGCGACACAAGCAGAAAGTCAGTTTCAATTTTGATTAAGTTAGTGTGTTTGTTCCATTACATTTGTATTTGATTTGTTTTTATTTGGCTGTGCTGCTTTCAATGATATGTGGATGTCAGAGTTTTTTCATCCAGTCAGATTTCAGCTATTTGTTGCTATGTCAAGCTAATGTGAGCAATGGGACAGTCTCGTTAATCAGACGGCATCGGCAATTTTCCGAATTCTGATTGGTTGGTCAGAGCAAAACTTATTACGGCCAATCTCAATTTGCAAAATAAATCTGTGCACATTATTACATTTGAAAATCAGCATCTCTATTAAGTATGAAAGCTACAGAATAGCTTGTTCAATTCATACTTCCCATCCTCCAGCCAAGAGGAACCCTGGAAGTGTGTTAGCTCACAAGCTAGCTGATGGCTTGTACCTCTTGTTGCGCCTGGGAAAGCCCTGCCATGACTCCGTGGCATATATTGCAGCCCCCAAGGATTTAAGGGATTTTCATTGCTCAAACACAGATTTCAAGAGATCTGTGCACAATATTTGACAAAATAGAGAGAGAGAGAGAGAGAGAGAGAGAGAGAGAGAGCCCCAGTGGCCAAGTGGTTAGCGCATTGACCTCACAGTGCAGAAGTACAGGGTTCGATAGTGGCTCCCTGTGAGTTTGCATGTTCTCCCCTTGCCTGCGTGGGTTTTCTCCGGGTACTCTGGCAGGTGAATGGAACACTCAAAATTGTCCCTAGGTGTAATTGTGAGCGCGAAGGGTTGTTCGTCTTCCTGTGCTCTGCGATTGGTTGGCAACCGGTTCAGGGTGTCCCCGCCTACTGCCCGAAGACGGTTGGGATAGGCTCCGACACGCCCCACAACCCTTGTGAGGTTAAAATGGATGGATGTTTTGAATGAATGAATGCTCTTTTTGGGTGGAGGGGTTGACGTGGGCCGCCATTTGCCAATCCCTGATCTAATTTATCTTAAAAAGAAAACAAACAAAAAAATTTAAAAAATAATCATGAGTAGCAGGGCGAGATATTGTATTTTTAAGGCGGTCGTGTCGTGACGATGATCCTTGGAGAGCCCAATATATTTTTAGGTACCATTTGGTTTAAAAAGTTTGTGACACGCTGCACTACTTTTTATTTCCCAAGATGGCGCCCGAGTAGGCAGCCGTCGGCAAGTGCTCTTCAAGAGCCTTGCTTTTTTGTTGTTTTTGTCTTTTGTTTTGTCACATGGTGTTTGTTGTTTTGTCATGTGGACCTGATGTGGATTGTTTTCAGCATTTTGGGCCACGACATTCGTCAAAGAAGAAGAATCTGTGCTTGGTGTTTGCGCCTTTTCGGCAGCACACCTGTACCAGCACAGATTTTGATTGAGAGGAATGTTGGCGCCATTTGACTGTCGGTGCTGTACAGCCCCCAGCTGCTTGTGTTTTTTGCACCCGTAATGGGCAGCATTTTTCACAGCCCCGCTTTGTTCAGTGGAGATGTCGGCGCTGTTGACAGTCTGCATTAGTGCGGCTAGATGGATGACTGCTGGAGTTGAGGATGAGGAGAGAGGAGCGTTTTTGGCACTGAGAGTCGCCACTTGGAATTGAAGCGGATTTACATGGGACAGGAGAAGTGAACCAATCTTTTTTTTCGTCAATGGATGCTACAGCTTCTTGTTGACTTTGAAACTTAGCTTGTAGCCGACGTGTGCATATTTTGAGCATGACGTCTTTGATCCACTGGAGAAAGGACACTTTGATTCTCTCCTTTTGTGCTTATTATTTTACTTTTATGTTAACTGTTTTGTTAAGCGCTTTGTTACAGCTGCTTCTGTTGTGAAAGCGCTATATAAATCAGGATGTATTGTATTGTGTGTTGTACGACAGCATTTCCAAAGCACATATGAGCATATTTGAAACGTTGCAAGTTGCACCAATGTGACAGATGTGCCCTTACCGCAATCTCCTCTCCCACTTGTCCCTGGGTCCATCCGGGGCCGAGACGAAAGGCCAAGGCGACGGCCGTGTCACAGTCGGGTCTGTGCAGGGTGGCGAAGTCGTGGCCGCCGGGCGTCTTGTGACACCGAGGGCTCAGCGCCGAGCCCTCGCGCCAAGCAAGTGTCTGCCCGTAAAAGCAAAGGGCACATGGGATGTCCAGCTCGGCGTTCTCGTCAGCTGGCGGTGACAGGCTACAGCCTTGCACCGGGCCCAGCAGGGCCAGCACCCACACAGCGACAGTCAGCATGTTGCTGTGTAGGAGGGTGGTGAGCTCAGCAAATCTCTCTCACAAAGCCATACAATGTGTGAGAGAGTTACAAATAAATACGAGTGTCTTGCTGTGTCCCTCACTGGCTGCTTGCTCCTAAAATCATGTTACAAGTCAGCAAATGAGCAACTAACTAAAGCAGGCTCTATCTTGCTTGCATTCCCCCCCCACCACCACCACACACTCCACTATCAGCTCCACCCACGGCCCCTCCCCTTGTCTCCATGGCGACGGCTTTGACTCTATGAGACAAGCCCTGCTCACACCCTCCGCAACCTGCCGCTTACCTGTAAATCAGCATTCCCAAACACACGCCGGCAGTAATCAAGCGACATCCAACGCGTACAAGCCTTGTTTGACTGGCTGCCTTTTTTTTTTTGTCGCTGTGCACATTTCTCGTGCATGATGGTGACTGGCCAGAGCAACAATGACATGAATTATACACGTACATTATATATGCGACTGAGCAGAAAATAGACTGCTCTGACTTGGTGCAGTTTTTAGACTTCTCTGACTTTGCGTATTATTTTAAGTTTTTTTTTTTAATTATTATTATTTCAGTTGGGAGTTTTCTTGCTCATTTTCATAACGGTTACGTCACATTCTTGAAAGTCAAGTCAAACAGGTGCTTCCGTGTCTACTAACCAAAGTTCCTCCCTAAAACATTTCATCCTGGCACTGTCTCATGCAGACTGGAGCTGATGTTCAAATCAAAGCAGTGTTGCATTTGTCAGACAAACAATCTGCTCATTGTGATCATCCTTTTGGAATCTGGCCAGACTGCCTTCAAGCGTTGGGGCAAACACACCCCTTGGGCTTCACCATCACGATTCCAATTTTTTGTTTATTCATACACCACTGACCATAGTAAAAATTCATGTTTGCAGTGTGAGAGTGGAGAATGAGTCGCAGGGTTTGATGGTGCACGGCGTGAAAAATCAATGACAAACTTTGAATCACAAGTGACACGCCTGCTTTGAGAGCTGCAAAAAAAGATTACTCATCGTTTGCTCTGTAAGGAACAATAAAGCTGCCACAATATCAATTTAAACGAGGCCCAAAGGCCATTTATTAAACCATGTTTGAAATGTTGTAACCAATGCGATCAAAGTCACTTTTTCGTCGCTCCCTTTAAAAGCTTTTGGCACACCTACTACATCTGAATAAAGCTTGACTGCTTTATTTCTTTACATGGAAGGTTGTTTGAAAAGTCATAGTGCAGTTTGAAAACAGTCCACACGGGGAGTCCTTGAAACTAAACTGTGGAAAGGGCTGTTTGGTACAAGTATGGACTAGTTCACGAAATTAGTGGGGTACATCTCACGTAACATAAAATAATCCCTTGCACATTTGTGGTGAACTATTCCCAAAAAAACATTCTTAACAAGAAAAGCAACACTATCAGAATTAACTTTACAGAAAAAGCAATGACATAATGGTCACTCCACAGTAAGTTCAGTAAAATTTGTCATTCTTTGCAGAAGATAAATAATGTATGCCTGAGTATTTTTTTTTTTTTACATTATTTGTCACTCCAATATTTGTGTTCAAACAATGATTGATTGATATAGCCACTAATGTACCTGCAGGAGCGAAGTTTAGCCAAGTTGTAACGGAAAATGTTCAAGTCTTCATTAATGGCGGCGGTGCTCAATCCCCATCCCGCAAATGGCTGGGGATGACTGTATTTACACCTACACAGTATATTCGCTCACACATACACACACGCACGCAGACAAGCTCACTCATTAGGGATGTCAATGACTAGCTCGGCCTCGTCACCCTCGCCTCGGTCTTCGTCTCCTCGCTCGCTGTCGATGTCGCTCTCGCCATCATCCTCGGCGGCATCCCCACTGAGCATCTGTCGGGGGACCCAGCTGAAGGGGCCACTGGCCGTCGAAGCCGCAGCCGGGCCCGATGGGTAATTGGCGGTCATGGGCGCCACCACCTTGCAGGTGTGCGGGCAGGAGGAAGAAAAAAAAAACAACAACAACTTAAGGAATGGGAAAGAAAGACTGACACGTGATGCTTGGAGGGGGTGGGGGATGAATGAATGCAATACGGAATGAATCAGAACCAAGTCAAACTCAAATGACCAAAAACCAAGAGGGAGGGGTTGAGTTGTAAAATTATCAATAAAATTCAGTTCAGGCATCGTTAGCCTCTTACACACAAAGATCCCGCACAACTTCTGCAGAAGGCTTTTTGTCATTACAACACGTTGAAAATGATGTTGCCCAAAATAAATCTCGTTTTGATGTCATTTTGAATTAGAATTAAAGGTAGCTGAATAGAACATTTAACTGCTTTAATCGAAAAATTAACCAATTTGTTGAGGGGAAGGAGTTTGAATGTCATTATCCTTGTCTGATGGTGTAATTTGTTACGGTGTAAAAATAAATCAATACAAATCTCCATACTATGATTCGGGAGTTGGGCAAAGGTGAATGATTCCCAAGACAACCCAGGACATTTTTGCTAAATGTTAAAACAACAAGCTAACGGTGGCCTAAGACTGTCTTTTGTTTGTTTGCTCCCCTTTTTCCATCTCTCACCTTCCCGGCTGGATCTCTCTTGTTTTTGGGCGCCTTTGTTTTCCGCTCTTTCTTCACTCGATCAGCAGGGGGAGCCAAATACTCTGGTGGGAAGGGCATCTGCCCAGTATGAGCGCACACATACACAAATGGAAGTGGCCCACGTGACAGAAAGATGACAAGCAAACCAACACAAAAAAATGAATACTGCGACAAAGGAGAGAAATAAAATGACAAATCAACTTGTTGGTAAGGCTTGATGATGATGATGATGGAGGAGGAGGACGAGGAGGAGGAGGAGGAGGAGGCATTGGCAGGATACGAGAAAAGGCGAGGTCGTGGGAGGGAGAAAGTCACTCACAGTGTTGAGGTAAGCGCCGGAGGCGGAGGACTGCAACGTGTGTACGCCCGGACGAGATAGCAGGGAGAGATGAGGCGAGGGTGATGACGGTAGACACGTGCCCGGGCTACTTCTTCGCCTGGAAAGGACACAAAACACACTCAATTGCGCTTGCCTCGTAAAATTGCGTGTGACGGAGCGAGAACATGTCAATAAGCCAAAGGTTACAACATCTGAAATACTGTGCAGGGAATTGGTATTCAAAATGCGGGATGACACCCACACTTTTAGTCATCTGTGAGTTTCTACACTTTGGTAGATGCTGCTCTTTTTGGTTAGCAAAAGCGTTGCAAATTCTTCAAATGTACCCATGTGAGGATAAGGGGCTCGGATGATGGATGGATGGATGAATTCATAAGTCAGGGCTTTGCTGATTTATGTGACTTACTTCTTGGCTCCATCCCGTTCTCGTTCCCTCTCCCGGAGTACTTCTCCCTCGCTGTAGTCCGAGGACACGGTCGCGTCGGAATCTAAAAGCCACAAAGTGAAAAGCTGAGCGCGAACAACATTTTAACGCTGAGAATTCTCCATGAAAAAATTGTTTTGAGTTAAACTACCTGAGGAGTCTTCATCCACCCTCTCGTAGGGAAGCAGTCGGTCCAGAAGGAAGCTGAAATTTCACCGATGAATATGTCACTAAACATAATCAAATGTATAGGAGGTTGTATATTAATTCTTTCCTGTTTAACAAATTGATTAATGAAGCAAATGAATAGACACATCTGTTGAAGTAACAAAAAAAAAACTCAAAGGGTGGATATTGCTTGTTTTTTTTAAATTGTCTGTCCATTTTGCCATGCACAACTTGATGGACCTGACAGTGGATCTGTGGATCCACTGAGTCTAGATGTACAATATTGTTTCAATAAACCACAATGCACATTGTGGAGGAGGCATTATTGGGGGGATTTAATTCAAAGAATATATTTGAATTACAGGGTACAGTAAACAAATGCAATATTTTTTTTTTTTAAAAACACCCTGTTCTGTATATTTAATGGACGAACATAAGTCTTTTGTAACATCCATATAAATTCTTTAAATTCTGTCAAATGCTTTTGTTACAGCTGTAGCTGTTGTGAAAGCACTATAAAAATAAAGCTATATTGTATTTATTGTAAATTGTAAAGCGACAGAGGATATGAAGAATAATATGGCACAAACCTTTTGTCCCTGGACACTTTGAGCAGTTTTCTCTGTGCCCTCCTCAACTCCTCTTGGAAGCATTCGTGTTCCTAGTGGGGTAAAAAAAAAAAATATATATATATATATATATATATATATATATATTTTTTTAAGGTAAAAAAAAAAAATATATATATATATATATATATATATATATGCTTTTAATACCCGTAGTGGGAAGTAAGGAAGTAAAAATAAGATAGGAATAAGGTATATGTATATATGATTTTCTGATGACATTTTACTTTGTTCTCGACATTTTAACGCATATTTGTACTTTCTAACTTTCCACTCTTTAGTGGGAACACATTATTTTAAAGGCATAAAAGTCCGAACCAATGCTTAGCTTACTTTTTCGAGTAATACATAAACTTTTTTGTGTGCAAACGTATCACCGCTGCGCCCCCGTGTGACAAGTTGTCAAAACGGGTACTGTAAAAGTGGCAGTAAAAATTCTGTTTTAATGTTGTTCTTCAGTACGTTGATCACTTAAGTAGGCTAAAACCATTTTTATTAAATTGCAGATTGATTTAAGTTACGAGATGTACACCTTACTTCTTCTGAGGGGGGGCGGGGGGGGTTCAGAAAAATTACTTACGTACATAGTACGAGTGTTTCTGCCACCACTTCAATACTCACATAAACCAAAAATTTCAACTTTCGTTTGAGGTTCTTGTATTTTCGCTTGTAGTCGACTTCGACGTCTGCTTGGCCGTTCATTTCTGAAATGCACCACTCACATTAACAGCGAAATCTTAAGTCACATAATCACAAAGTATACAATTAAAATGTAAAAGGAATAAGCATTAATTACATTAGCGTTCTCAAACTTGCCGTACAAGGCAAGCTGGCTAAGCTAGCTAAACATGTTAGCAGACGAGCTAATCTCGCTCAAAATACACGGCGGTGAGTTGAAAGAAATATATAGAAATTCGCTCAGTGTTTTGTTTTGATTTGTTTTACGATTCCAGCGTAGGCTTCACCAGTGCGGACAACTATTCGGAAGAATCTTGCAATCCGTACCTCTTCCTTTAGTCTCTCTTTAGCAACATGGTTTTGTTGACGCGCCGAACGTCGTGATGTCATCCGCGTCATGTCTACGTAGCTACGGAGGCGGCTCTCTCTTCCGGCTTCCTCCAATTTAATATGGACACAATGTTAGGTACAATTGCAACAATTTCTTTAGCTGAGTATTACTTTAAGGTACAATCGCAACAATTTATTTAGCTGAGTATTACTTTAGCAATATGTTTTTATTTTTGGTTGTATTTAAAATAAGACATTTTTAAATATTGGCTTTTACTTTGGAAAACAATGATCAACGTTTTTCTCACGTGACTGACTTATGTATTTGAGACTTATGAGTTTTTTTGTTCAACCTTAAAATTAGCTTGACGATCCCAAAAAAAAAAATAAAATCACGAAGGGGTCAAACAGTTTTGCCCGGCACTGTATCTGGCCTTGATGCTTTGAGCGGTATCTCAATGTCCTCTGTACAGTCGCCTGATGGTGAATTTGCTGCACAGACCACACCGTACACCGTAGATTCACTTGGCAGTACCCTGCAGGATGAATTATAGATAGGGGAGACTTTTGCAGGGGGTGCGTCATGCTGACTCACTGCATGATTTTGTGTGTGCGTGCGCGCGTGCATGCACGCGGAGAGGTGGTGGAGACACAGCATCAATGTAAGGTGAACACTTAATGTATTTAAAATGGAGGAGATGAATGGAGCAGAGGAATGAGGCAGGACAGTGGCAATTGCTTATGTAGCGCAAAGATCGTTGGCATGGCAACTCACCCATCTTGCACAGGCACACACATGCACACACACACACACTCATACTGACAACATCACGCCTCTTAAAACCACAAACAAGACCTTTTCTCTTGTCATATTGTCTGCCTTCCCTGCCATTTTTAGTGAGATTCATACAGATGGGAATCCTGCTAAAATGCCGCAGTGTCATTTCGGGGCAGTAAAAAGCACTGTAATGGCTGCACTGCATTACCTCACCGACCTCCCCCACATCTCCCTTTGACGGAAGATCGATGAGGTACCCTGAAAAATTGAAACCTGCCCAGAAAATTTGTGACACTGTAATTTGTAGCTCCCATTTGTTGTGCAAAGCCCAAAATAGCCTCTTCTTTCTATGTCCGCTGCCATGAATCACATGGTGCCGGTCTCACAGAGAGCCGTCAGCCCTCCATCCACCACTCTGTCTTTTTAATGGAACATTCTAAGTATTCACTTCTGTTATTTTTAGCTTGTCATCTCTTTTGACCCGCCCCCACCACCCCACATACTCACTTGGGTCTACTTTGTCACCTTCCCTGTTTACATGTATAAGTTCTCTAACTTGTGCTTTGTGTGCCATGTTCACTGGAATGTACGGAAAGCACACCAAGAATGACTTCAACAGAGGCATGCTCTCTGAACATAAGGTAAGCTATCTACTTACCTAACACCTTGCACGCCTGACGTACAACTGCACTGACCTACATACTGTACCAACCTACACTTGTACCTTCCGACCTGCCTCCCTTCCTTTGTTTCATCCTAAGTCTGGCCCTCGAGATCCCCTATTCAGCCAGCTTTAGCTCTATCCCTCCTCTAACACACCTGATTCAAACGATCAGCTCATCAGCAACCTTTGCAGAAGCCTCGTAATGATCCTGATCAGTTGAATCAGGAGCAATCTAAAATAGGCTTAATATGAGCTTTGGAGAACCGGACTTGGGCACTCCCTGATCAATAACTTCCTTCCTACCTGCCACTCTACCTTTGTACCAACCTTCTAACCAATCTACTACCGATCGACAGAACAACAGACCCAAAATTTTGTAACTTTCTTACCTGCCTTTCCCGCTTCCTATTGTAACATTAGCAGTAACGGTGTCCCACAGGGTTCTCTACTAGGACCACTGACATTAGCACATAAAGGGTCAGTCCTCTCTTCTATCTCTTGTATCCCTTAACCAGAACCTAGTATATCACCTTAACATAGGCAGTACAGATGTATATCAACGGACCACGATTCTTTGTGTTCCAGGACAAACTTATCCGAGCTATTAAAAGAATCCAGCATGAAGTGGATGAGTGCAGGGAGGCAGAGAGTGAGACGTACATCGACTCAGTACAACTAGAGGTACAGCCTTCTTCTTAGTCAATTATTTATACCAATCTTTTCTGGACGTAAAATACATAGTGGAACCTGCAAAATTAAACCATTCTTTGATTGGATCTCATTAATGTACCTAGTATCGTGGCCAGCGTGTAGCCGTGTGGTTTTTCAGAGTCAGTTCGACGAACTGGAACGAGAGATCCGAGCCGAGTTCGGGAACCTCCATCGCTTCCTGGATGAGGAGGAGTACAAGGATCTCGAGCGCTTGAAGCAGGAGCGAGGTAAATTCCTGATGGGACTGAAGAAGAGGGAGGATGACATCTACCAGCAACGGAAGGACCTGGAGAGAGCCATGGCCGTGCTTAACAACAAACTGGCTGAGGAAGAGAGCATCAACATGCTCAAAGTGAGGAAAATATCGTATCAAATTACATTTGCATTCAGGCCAGAATGTTGCATAGCCAAGCATTTTATTATGTTTTTTTTTTCCACTCCTTTGACTGCAGGATATCCAAGATCTTATTAAAAGGCAAGTCTATTCATCAAACTTGTGTTACGCAAGCTTCACATCGCGCCCATCAATCATTGACATCCTCCCCCGCCTCATCTGATCCAAGCAGATCTCAGGTCAGATTTGTCCTCCCTCCAGAAGTGGACAGTGAACTGCTCTCAGGCCACTTTGTGGGACCCATACAGTACAGAATATGGAAGCGCATGAAAAGCTGCCTTTACCCAAGTATGTACATATTATAAGAAAATGTGAAAATGTCTGCAACCAAATTGTCACTCCGCCGGACACGTCTTCAAGGACACACCTATAAAGTTTACTGTGCTTGCTTCCAGATATTACACGGGTGACGTTCGACCCAGAGACGGCCCATCCTCTCCTCTCCGTGTCCCCATCCTGCACATCAGTGCGCTTTGACGACGCTAAAGACATGCCAAAATGCTGCCGGGACAACCCCAAACGCTTCCACCACTACTACTGCGTGCTGGGCCGCGAGGGCTTCAGTGTGGGGCGACACTACTGGGAGGTGGAGGTGGGCCGGAAAACGGCGTGGAGGTTGGGCGTGGCACGGGCCGACATACCCCGAGGGGAGATAGAGGCCACGGGCACGTCCAGTGGTCTTTGGACTTTGGCCCTGAAGAACGGAGACATCTTGGCTTGCACCGATCCCACACCCGTCAGGGTCAATGTGCCGCTTCGCCTGGCTCGCGTCGGTGTATTTCTGGACTGTGAAAAGGAGGAGGTTTCTTTCTATAACGCTGAGAATATGGCGTCTGTCTACACATTCACCATGGGAACTCTCCTGCTTCCTTTGTACCCCTTCTACAATCCGTGTGACACTGACGATGGCAGGAACACGGCTCCCATTAACATCTTTAGCCCATCACTATGACTGAGGGCTTTGTTCACCATAGCAATGTTGTTTTCGTCAACAGTAATGAAATAATATCATTGACACCTTTATTTTTCATGACTAACTCTTGGAAGACGAAATCGAAGTGCGTGAGTCGAAGTGCGAGACGTCAGCGGGTGTTCTGTCAAACATTCAAAATGCACGCCCATCGCATTCCAATTGTTCAAAAAGGAGAGCCTGCTCACTTTAGGATATATAACACAACTGTAAATATGTTTCGACAATCTGTTTGAGATAAATTTCCTATTTTCAGATTTCCATAACAGCTGGTGCGATTGGGATGCTAGCTAGCTTCTAGCTCAAGTTAGTTGTGCTAGCATCAATGCACGAACGTGTGTGTTAGCTACTGTTAAGTTGTGGACAAAATTTTAGACTTGTTGCTGGCCCAACATAAAATAAGGAACAGATACAACCAATAGTACAGATACTTTACACTTTTGGCCATTGCATCAGAAAGCTCCTTCCGCCACTCTGACGCCATTGTGTTTTTTTTTTTTAAAGACAGCATAGCTCTAGATACAGCGCCTCCAAGATGGGCATCATGTAAAGTCTTTGTCAAAGGAACCAAAGACTGAGGAAGAACTTGTAGCCCAGCCTGGTAGTTTTGGAAGCTTTGACAGCTTCAGCGTCAAGTGTTTGGCGTCCCTGCAAACACATGGCACGTTGTCAAGGTTATGGAAGCCCAGAGCACGTGACTGGGATTAGTGGGTCGGTCATACGACAGATGGGCTGACGCTGAGTGACATGGTGTTGACAGTGAGCTGACCTTCATGAGAAAAGGTCAAAATAAACACACACACACACAAAAAACCAACACCACTGCACAAATATGGCCAGTTTATTTTTGGTGCACTTTAAGCAGCAGCTTGAGAAGAAAAAAAAAAGTTAAACAAATTCAAATTCAATCGTGTTTGCATGAATTTTTTTCTTTGAGGAGCCCTGGAAAAGCATTTCATCCATCTCATGCATCCTCCACCAACAATAAAAGACGCACAAATATGTACAAGTAACCACAACTTTTACTATTCACTGTTTCAGGTTTTGTGACACATTCACGCTCATGACCTTGTTGAGCACAACATCACACGGACGCACGTCAATGCACTTCACACAAAACACGCGCGTGTATCACAGCTCGGAAATGACACGCACATAGAAAGTGTAGGGTGACAAAAGCCTGCGTTGTTTTCCTTGACCGTGCTGCGTCCAATGACATCAGTTACATTTGAACACAACATGGAAATACTGCGCAGCGAGAGAGCAACGTACGAAATCCAAAACAGATGTTTCATCAGTGTTTGGCTTTTAACGCTTTCATGAATATTAGTTGCTGTCATCTATAGTGTGTGTGCGTGTGTGTGTGTGTGTGTGTGTGTGTGTGTATATATATAAATATTTATATTTACATATGCCTTTTAAGCTTGCAGGGGATTTGAAATTTGTTGTCTTCTTTATTATTTAGCATGATACAATAACCATTCCGTACACAAAAAAAGTCAATTAGAGGGTCAATCAAGCGGTGTACACATGCACTATTTACAAAGCTGGAGTGTGTGTACGTGTGTTGAAGTGGAACCCGTCAGGCATGCCAAGGACCAACCTGCTGCTTGTAACACAGAGAAGTGTAATATTTTTGGGATTTGAAGTGTTTTACTGATCTGATCCTCAACTAAATCCAAAAAATGGCATTGGCAAATTCTGGAATATTGTCTGATATTAGCTAGGAAAACTATCAGCAACATTTTTCTGACCGTTAATTGACATTTCATTCATTTTTTTTTCTTCTGTGCTTCTCCAATGAATCTATGTAATCATCAATCGAGTTTAATCGATTTCTTGACATTCCTCATCCTCTAAAGGTGTTTTCGCACTGCGCTGGCTTACCTTGCTGCACATTTACAAGTGGTGACTTAGCGGCCAAGGCGGCACCGGTGGCTGGTTGACTGGTTAGCACATCCGCCTTTTATAACGTTTATAAGCAATACATTTGAAACAAATTATTATTTTCGTACAATATTTTGCTATATTTACATGCTGTGTTAATGTTCAAACATGACAGAATCTTACAGTGGCGGACAATGACGTTAAATATACTTTTGAGGAATGAGGTAGTAAAACATAGGGAAACACTGCTTAAATGAAGTCTGATTCTATGTGTGTGTGTGTGTGTGTGTGTATATTTTAAAGTTATACAAAACCCACTGTGTATTTTGTTTTTCCTGAATGTCACTGGATCATGTTAATGTGGGATGGACATCACTTTTGCATGCTAGTAAGTACACAGGCATTCAGCGTGAGGCAGAAAAGTGACAGCGAGGCCAAATTGTTGTCAGGAAGTGCACAACCCGGTGTTAGAAAATACCTTACGGTGGAATTTCTACTTGTAAACTCTGCGTTTGCAGCCTGGCAGTTTTGTGGTGGGGATTTCCAAAGAAAAGCCTGCAAGAAATACAAAGATGTTACGAAATGAATGATGGATTGTTAGGCTCTGTACAGGCAATTAGAGTAAGCAAAGTCCCGAATTCGAGGGGAGGTGGTTTGATTGTCGACAGTGCTGGTGTGTCGCGTGGGGGTTTCCAATGTGAGCAGTCAGTCCTCAGGTGGTGGTGGTGGTGGTGATGGTGGGAGAATCTCCATGTTGGCCAGCACCGCTTGATTCGGGATCCACTTCGGGGGCTTTAGGGGGCACGGCTTACAGAGAGGAACCTCCAATTAACATCAGCTTGATCTGGGCCCGGTTCTGTCATGTTCCGCTCTGTTGTGTTTTTTTGTTTGTTTCAGCAGCAGCTGGAGTGTGGGGCGTCACCCTTCAGCGGTGCACCGGTGTCTGATCAAGGCAATCAAGTGGCTGCATATTTAAGGACTCTGACTTCTTGTCTCCGTTGTGGGACTTACAGTATTGCTCTTGTTCACTACTTTTGCACAAGTGCTATTTTCTAGATCTCTCGTTCTGGTTCCTAGTCTCTCTCCATATCATCGGATTTTTGGGGGTTTGTGAGTAGTTGGTAATTTGTTGCAGTTGCTCTTGGTTTCGTGTGATTGAACTAAGCTCATTTCGTTTTGTGTATTTCTTGGTGATCATTGTTTCCTTGTAATTGGCAAGAAAACATTTGGTTTTCAGGGACTTTTGTTGCCAGCGCTTTTTGTTGACTGCTTTGTCGGTCTCTCGCGTTTCTTTAAACAAACCTCTTTTGTGATCGCCATTTATCCGAGTCTGCGTTTGTGGGATCCACACTCCATCCGGTCAGAGTTCAGACCGCTTGTCAGGTTCAGGGGTGCCTGCGTTGAAAAAGTTTCAGGTTATTGATGCAAAATTGTGAAAGATGTTTTTTAAAATGTTTTTTTAAATGTAGCTTTAAAGACCCTGTAAAGTGAATTAAGATTAGCTTTCAAATACATGATAAATGTTTGAAGATAATTGCTGAGCAGAGGTGTCGTCATTTTTCATAATTTTGAAGCCTCAATTCAAATGTTTGTTGAGGGTTTTTTTTTTGGAGACATTCAAATTTGGTGGGTTTGTTAATGAGTCTTTGGCGTGTCAATTTTTGAAGACAATTCACTTGACAAGGACTTTAATTCTGCCCCCTCATACCATTGGGGATGGGCTCTGTCAAGAACGGAATGTGGTCATCGGACGAGGGAGGTTCATAGGCCCCCTGGGTGGCGGATGAAAACATCTTGTGAGGTTCCGGAGCCGGGCTTGGGGCTTTCGGGGTGGTCGACTTGGGCTCCAGGGTATCGCCGACGGGTTTTGGGTCAGTTGCTGGACTCGCCGGACTCTTGAGTACCGGGCTGGAGACTGGGCTGGACTTGACGTCGGCCGGTTTGGGCACATCCAGGTTCACCGACTGAGCAGGGGGGGTCTCGACATCTTTGGTTTCAGGCTTTACTTCCACAGCTGGCGCGGCACTCGGCTTGGATTCAGCTACCGGACTGGATTCGACTTCTTCCATGGTCGGTGGTGGTGGAGCACTTGATTTAGTCTCGGGAGCGATGGAGATGCTCACGGCATCCGAGTCGGGGATTTGCTCAGGGGCGTCTGTGTCAGTGTCCAGCGGCAGGGCTGTGTTAAAGCCAACGCCCGAGTCGCTGGTGTCCAGGTTGCCAATGCCGACCTCCTTTGAAGAAACCTCCAGTCCCTGCGTTCGCACATGCAACGGGTCACCACACCGTGGAGACATTCAAATGATACATAAACGGAGCCGTGTCTTACTTTAATGTCCACCTCGGTGCTCTGAGATTTCTCGGTGTTGTCGGCCTGCGAATGCTTGGACTCCTCGCTGAGCTTGGTGATGTTCTTGACCACCTGTAAGCACGCAAAACAAACTTTTTGTTTTATTTTTTCGTTGCATGAAGAAAAATACAGTGTGAATGTGTATGTATACAGATGAACTGAGAGTGACAGATAAAGAGCTTAAAGAGAGCACATTTTGCCTCTTATTTGGAGAACTGTCTGAGTCTTCTTGTTTTTCTTGACTGAAAATGATGTGATTGATAGTCTCCCAACGCAAGTGGATTTTGCTTCAAGTGTTTTGAGAGGGCCATTACGAGTTTTATCTGTTCAGGGTGGTTCTGAAATATATAGCCATATGCCAAATTGCATTTTTCATGCAACAGCACCTTATTCTTGTTATATGCCAACATTTTCCTCCTCCTTTCACAAGGTCAAGCTGACGTCTCTGCTGGCGCATCCAACCTGTCTGAAGGCTTCCCCCTCGTCCTCCTTGCCAGCATTCTGGGCGATCTTCTCCAAGGCGGCGGCCCTCTTGGCCCTTTTTTGGACTTTGATCAGGCAGGACAGCAGGCAGGCCAGAAGGAGGAAAACCAGCAGGCTCAGCAGGGCGATGACGGCCACGTAGATGGACTCCAGCTTGTAGGCTGCCAAAACATGCATCGGTTAACAGGACTGACCTTGATTTGACTTGGACGTGTTTTCACGCTTACGTTTGAGTTCCATGTGGATGCTGGACACGGGGAATCCCTGTGTGTCGGTGACTTTGAAGAGGCCTTCATCGGAGCGCTTGACTTGATCCAGGAAGACCAGAGATCCCTCCACGGAGAGGCGACCCTCGAAGCCTAGCTTTGTTTGGGCCTGCAGCCAGACCCAACACAAAAAAAAAAAAAAAAAAAACACTCGGGAGCCACAAGATTCCCAAGTACAGTCTAATCACACGCAAGAACAATCCAAGTATTCTGCATAATATTGACTTCTTCTTTCATGTTTTTAAATATTAAATAGAGCCTTCTACAGTGTTGTATTTGGAAAAACACACACGATCACACAATTAAAGAGAACAATAAGGAATTAAACTGTCTGTGCCTCGTGATGTCACGCTTGAATGATGAATGCTAGTTTTATAAGCCTGTCAATGGCGTTTTACCTTGTGGGCGAGCATTAAGCTAAGAAGCCTTTCCTAAGGCAGAATTATCGATCAAACCCATGTTAAGAACCAGATCTAGAGCTTGCAACTTGAGACAAAAAAAAAAAAAAATTGAGTCGGATCAACTCATAAGTGTGGAGGTACCACTTTATTAAGAAAAATAAAATAAAAAGAAATCGTGCTTACATCAGTGAACTCTCCTCGATCCATGAGTAGGCGCATCTGGTGGTCCGTGTCGGCGCTGTAGTAGAGGTGTACCATGGAGCTGTTGAGCATCAGGTTAATCTTCAGTCGTTCGCCGTGATGCAGGTTGACAAAGTGCGGGTGCTCTGAGGAAGTACATGCACGACATCAGTTGAGGGAGTAAATCACATTAGGCTGGTGAGATGTCCGCAACGCTTCAACAAACCGGTGGCGCATTGAGAGGGAAGCTGCCGAGGCGGCAGAAAGGTCAGAAAAACTGAAGCTGAAAGACGGCTACTAGAGTGAAGAAAAATATGCTGGTAAAAATAGAAATGCCATGACTCAAGTAGAAGTTTAAAAAAAAAAAAATGGAAAGTCTAAAATGTAAAAAGTAGTAAAGAGTCCAAATCCATTTTTACTGTCAATTATATATGGTTAATTTGCTTTCATTCCATTGTAAGTCTCATAAGACCAAACCATTCACATAAAATAAAACTGATATTGTAATACAGATGAACTCATTGCCTGTGTAAGTTAAAAAATACATTGGAGGACCTTGAAATAATCTTGTCTGAAAGAATTCTGTCTGCGTGTGAGCAGCACCAGCGCATGAGTTGTGGCCCACAGCAGCTTCTTGTGACTGTTGCCATTCTCTATTTCTTTTTTTGGGCTCTCCTTGCGCACATAAGAGGGCATCGCAGTCAAAGTACCACCAAAATGGATTTCAAATGTAGGAAGAACATTACAAAAATTGTCAGAAAAACAAATACTCCAGTAAAGTACAGATTCCTGAAAAATCTACATCTGTACAGAAGTGCAAATACTTGTTGTCCCTCACCTATGACCTGGAGACAGATTTTAATCCGAACGGCGCCCAGAGCATCCCTGACGGTGTAGCTGCCATCGTCGGCCCCCGTCGTCGACCTCAGGACCACGTGGTGGTCGCTGACGCTGATGCGACCCTGGTAGCCTTCCCGGGGCTTGCCCGTGCTCGTCAGCAGCACCAGCGCCGGTCTGGAAAAATATGAATATTTTATTACTTTGTTCCTGTAAAAGTACTTTTCCCCCCCCTCGTACTTTCCAACCTTATTCCATTAGATTAGATGTTGTTTCTTGTAAAAATAGGATTACATTTTAGTCATGTTAAAGCATTATTCTTATCAGATTACATCCTTTTTTCCCCTCAAAATCAATTTATAATCAGATAACCTGAAGTGCTTCTAAAATTAAATTTTTTTGAGATTGTGACTCTGGGGTTTTTGTGAGCTGTAAGTTTAAAAAAAAATCACGAAATATTTCACTCTGTGTGTATTAAATCCATATAGCGCAAATAAAAAGTCTACACACCCCTGTTAAAATGTCAACTTTTGGAAGTTGAAAACAATCAAGTTCAGCTGTTCCAATCGGCAAGAAAGAATAAAATCCTGAAAATGAAATTTCGCTTGAGGTCTCGTGGCTCTGCATGATATCGGAACCACTGGAATGGATTGAAATGGTCAATTTATCAAGATCATAATTAGATTGCGTAGGGTGTGCCTAATGAAGTGTCCAGTGTACCCTGGCATGTGCTGGTTCAACCGACCTGGATGTCAGGTTGGCCTCCACCGCACTGGGCCTGTGCTCCAGGGTGATGGGTGGCGTCACCTCCAACAGCGGAATCCGGAAGTTTTCCCCGTATTTTACCGTCTGCTCGTTGTAGCAATCTGCAGGCGGCACGAGCAAAGAGGTCAGTGGGAAGCAATCGAGCAGAGATACACAGTTACTGTACTTCACTAGATTTGCCAGGTACCTGTACTTTAAAAATACAAGTACTACTCCTTACTTTGTGAAAAATACTCCAGTTAATTCCTTTTTTATATATAATCCTCTGCGTTGGCAACCGTGGCTCTCCTTACCCACGTGCAAGGGCATTCCAGTACATGAGCGCACTTTGCGTTTACTGAACATGACAAAGAGCCAAACACCCAAATACGAAATTCACATTGCACGGAAAATGGCTCCAAGTAAGTAGGAGGAGGAGGAAAGAGCTTTGGTGCTCGAAGGAAGTCTGAGTGGTATAAAAAAAGAATAGATTGTCAAGAAGTGAGGGAGCAGTGATCCGGAAATACGGGGGTGGGTAAAATCGGCAACACAGCAGGGAAGGACAGGAAGAAAGGGAGGAGAGCGGGCTGATGCTTAAAGTGCGGCATAATGACAGGCTGCCGGCGGCACTGGGAAGACGCACGGTGATCACAGCAAATAATACGACGCCGTCATCGGCTGGCAGCGCACTCCATATGGTGCGCGGCGCGCGCGTTATGGCACTGCGCTCGCCTTTGACACATGCTTGCATTCACTCGCATCTGCTTCCATTCGGCGCTCATTTAAAAAAAAAAAATAGGCCCTTGCATATTTTCTGCTGATGAATGAATTGTTCGTGCAGTTGGACCGTGTGTTACTCATGAGTGAGGAATTGTTCGTGGGATAATACGGCACCTTGGCTTGACATCTTTTGAAACATTTCTATGTATTCGCCGCTAATCCAACACCACCAGTTTCAGGTTTATTTTATTTTTTTTTATAAAATATATATATATATATATATATATATATATATATATTTTTTTTTTTTGCTGACATGAATATTTCTATTATTAGACTTTGTGAAGTTTTTATACCCAAATCACAAAGTTTATGTACCATTGCAACATTTTTTTTTTTACATTATACACATGCATACAGTCATACTCTGAGGACCATTATTAATCACTAATGAAAAGCACACATCTCTCTGTAATTCCATCATCAAATAGTTTTAGACATTTCTATAAAAAATAAAAATAAAATTCAAAAATGACATATTTTATCGCAAGCGCTTTTCTTTGTTTCAATGATGTCAAATGTCTTTTTTTTAATGACTTCTTATTTGCGATTTGGATTTTTCAAGTTTTTAAATTCACACAACATTTCAGCTTTTGCGCTTTTGTTGTATACTGTACCTGAAAACTTTTTCTGTTTGTTGCTCTGGCAGCAAGCTAATGAACAACTGTACAAAAAAATAGCGTCGATCTGCAAATTTTGATCCAAACCAATTGATCCTTGAGTTTTTGGGTGAAAATACATTCAATCGCAACACGTTTAAATCACGACGACGCAATGCACGTGCATCCCGTACCTCGAACGAAGAGCCTGATGCGTCGGACGTCCTCGGGGTCTTCGGGGTTCTTCACCGTGTACACGCCCTCGTCTCCCTCGACCAGCGAGTCGACAACCAGGTGGCTCAGGTAAATGTTTTTCTTGGCCCGGCTCCCCACCACCAGGCCGCCCCGCATCAGGACCACTTCGGGCGATCGCGGGGTCGGGCGAAACGTCACCTCCAGCCCGGGCGCGTGCAGCAGGATGTGGAAGTCTTCGCTGAGGTATAACATCAAGGATTCCTCGTTGACTGCGTGGGAGTGGAAGGGTTTGGGGTCATATTACCGGAACAGTACGGAAGGCCTCAAGGAGGGTGCCGCCATCATTCATTCCATACTCACCCTTGCCAGACACTGACAGAACTGCAGATACAAAGAAAAGAAAAGATGACTCGATTAGTGCTGGGTTTTAGACAACCTCTGTTGAGCTTTTTCTCTCGGTTATTTTACATGACACTTCTTCGATACAAGAAAAGAAAAAGAATGGGTTGTCAAACCTGTTTACGTTGCAGGTCACGGTTGCTCTCAAATCACATAAATATGCCATCGCTGTGTAACGCGATGGCAAAAATCATAGTTTGGCATGTAATTTGTCTTTCGGGTCGCCCAGAGTAAGGAAACAAAATGAAAAAAAACTGCTTGTCTTTTGTGTAAACAGAACAGATTCAACAACAAATTTCAAAAGGCTTAGTTAATTTCAAGTCTTTCAAAATGGGCAGATAAATTGCTGATTTTGAAAAACACACACACACACACACACACACACACACACACACACACACACACACACACTCACCTAATATTACAAAATGAAAATCCTAAAGCAGGCTGTAACTGCGTGCCCCCGCCCAAAAAAAAAAAAATCCGCTTGACCTTTGTTAGAATTTAGACAAAGTTGACAAAGATAATGCCTTTTTTTTTTTTTTTTTAAGTCTGCCGATTTTTTGCAGATTTTTCTCTGTTGTCTCGGACAAATGTTCAGCCTGTAATTCGTAATTTGCATTGTTAGAATCCAACATGTGATTTCATTCATTCATATGTGATCATTGTTATCGGTTCTCAAAGTTTTATTCTGCCATATATTGAAAGTTTGGCCGCCGTGTGAATTGTGTGACTTTCCTACCTGTGGCAAGCAGAAGGGTGAGCGTGACCACACAGGTTGCGCTCATCGTGGCTGTTTTGTAGCACCTGGAGAAACAAAATCGATTAAAAAAAAAAAAAAACATTGCCTTTATGAAGCTACTCATGCCCAGGGAGGTTTTCATCCAGACAAAGTTTGATGATTGAGCTTTCAAGGAAAACCGACATTTACTCAATCACGTGGGAAAACTAGGGCCTTGTAGTGAGACGAAAGTGTGCACTTGCTGACAACTGCGCACGACTAGTACGAGTAGTGTAGCACGAGATTCGAACGAGTGTAACTTCATCATGCTACCGAGGGTCCTAGTAATAACACACACTTCTCAACGATGACACAGTTCTGCATCCCAAAAATGTTTAAGTTGTCACACTAGCAAGGACAAAGCCAACACATTGACTCAAAAATGGATATCAGATATCACTGATACTGGATAAAGCCGCTTGAGCATTTATTTACTATTCTTCCGATCCAGCTTTGTACTCGTCGTCCCAAAGCGACATCTCCCGTCACTCTTCAAGAATTTCTTCCAAAGAAGGCCAATCCGTAAATCGGCACAATTCCCTGAGCGCCGCACCGATCGCACCAACCTGATTCAAAACACAATAATTCATAACCGGGACTCGTCTTGTTCTCCTATAGGAAGCCAGCGTAATCTGTCAAAGCCATTACGGTGACAGCCTCGCAGACGACGCCCGATTAAAAGGCGCCACCGGGGAAGTATTAGGGTGATGTGAGCCGCTTTCCTCTGCAGCGCTGACGCGCACGAGGCCAAAGACATCACAAGATGTGCGCGTGTGAGCAAAAAGAGATTTTGCTGCAGTTTTAACCTCATTAAAAAAAAAAAAAAAAAGGCCCAGGAGGAAACTCGGCAGCCATTGAATGTGATGTCGCCAGGCCAACCAGGCCTATTTGCGCAGGACATGACAAAGCATCCTTTTTATAATGCTCGCCGGCAGCGGAGGGCCGTCCGTGCGTTTGGTACCTGAGCCGTCAGAAGGCAGTAAAGCGACTTAATCCATCTCCTAATACCACTAACGACGTCATAATAACAGACATGCAAAAAAATGATGTCTCGAAAAGTGCACCTTCAAGACAGATTTCTAACCATGTCCGAGAACAGATCGATTCAAATTCATGAGTGCCAATCAACACAGTCGAGCGTGTCTGTAACAGTGTTGCTCTGACCAAGCAAGCAAATAAAACGAAACGAAACAAATAAATAAATACATTGACGTTATGGTGGGTCGGCGAGCTGACCCTTGTGAGGCGAACGTGAAATCTGGTTGGTTAAAAAAAACAGTCTCATTGCAATTAGAGTTGACATTGGACCAGCACGACCCGGGACAGATTAGGTTGACATGGCAACACAGAGAAGCTGCAATTCGATTGGACAAAAAAAAAAAAAAATTGAAAATACGAAAGGCATCTATGCTGATCGGGGTCTTCTGTTTTGCACAGAAAAAAATCACCCAACAGTGCCACAGGATGGCGCCAAAGCGTGGTATAATTAAAAAAAAAATAGTAGTGCTTAGGCACCGTTTTGTGATAAGATCCTTTATTTGTCTCACACTGGGGAAATTTACAATGAAGATGTTGAAGTGAGGAAGAGGAGAGATGAGCTTCTATGGCCTTTGTGTATTTTGTGAAAAAAAAAGGAGTACTTTGGCACAATCTTGTGGTAACTATAAGCAATAGGAACGTTTTTGGAGGGGGTGCTAATTTTGGCATAAGCAAATTTTGGATACACTTGTAGAGGTGTTCCTTTTCGCGTCACCATTAAGTGTATTTAATAAACAGTATTGACACACTGAACAAAAATACAATCAACATTTTTTCCCCCGGTTTTCATGAGCTGAACTCAAAAGATCGAAAACACAGGTGTCAAACTCAAGGTCCGGGGGCCACATCTGGCCCGCCATATCATTTTGTGTGGCCCGTGAGAGCAAATCAAGCATGTCAATTTTTCCATGATGCTTGCAAAAGTCTGAACCAAAATTTAAGATTGTCATATGTCATCCTTCATGACACGGAGATATTGCAAACGTTACAGGTACAGCTCATGCCAAATAGGGGTAAAAAATCAAAATGTTCCATTTATATGTCGACAATTCGTCTCCTCACATTTATGTTTCCGTACTCTGCTCCGCGACAAGCACACAGCACCTCGTGTCATCGTTTACTGTCCAGCTGCCGAGGCTGTGCGGTGACACTTCAGCGAGCACGGAACATGCGAAGCGCACCAAAGCATCCACCGAGGTGCCGCGCCGCCCTTTGGGCCGTGAAGCTGCAGAACGCATACACATCAACCATCTGCCCCCTTTGCCTCCCTCTCCCACATGCACGTATGCACTCATTGCCCTCCATCCTTTCCAGCACACTTCTTCTTCTCCCTCTCCTCTGCGTCACCTGCCCTGCGTTCTTCTTGCTCGCTCTCTCAGTGAATTCTTCCCCCCCTTACGTAACATCAGCCACTGCTTCTCGCGGTGTTGTCAAAGCCATCTCCGGTGCGCCTTCGCACTCGACAAGGTCAAGCAGGTCTTTGTGCGTGGCTTTTTAAAGAGACGGAAATACCATTTAGTGACTGCAGATGAGTGCGCGCGTGGCCACACAAAGCCCGGCTGTGTCTGGAGTCCTCATCTTTCACTTTTGCTTCTCGCCACCGCACCAGCATGCAACAAAACGGGAACAACTGCACGTATTGTTGTGCGCTCCCTTCACTGCACCGCTCAAGATATTTATGAGTCAATGCGGCATGGAAAAGGAAAGTGGGTGAGGGGGACATTGCCGTTCTGATTAATCAGCACAAGGGATTGGCTGACTAATCAATTCATTGATTAATCCATCGTTAAGGATCTTGCCTTTTGGGTTGATTTGATTGATTGCTCGTGTCTTGAAGCAAGAGAGGTAACTAGCGCAGAGCAGAGGTTGTTTTTGGAATCGCTCCCTATCCAAAAAGAGGGTAGGATTTGAACTGATTAATCGAATAGCCAAAGAACCACTTGTAGTACTTCCATGTCAAACGTGTCATTAAAAAACAATTAAGGTTTTTGTAGATTTTAAACCAATTATTGTTTTAGTCTTAATTCACATGCTGGAAATCACATGACAGTGCTCCATAAATCATCATGGTTTCAAATCTTTTCTAACCCTTCTTTGCAAAGGACTATTCAATTTTCTTAATCCGCTTTTGCAGACCAGAGGGAAGAAAAAGAAATGTACGTTTCACCAGTTGAGGTGGATCCCGTACATTATAATTACGCGACAGAATGACGTCAGTCACGGCACGCCCAAGTAGCATTCTCAATGAATTTGTTGATTTGACTGATTAGTAATCTATGTTGTTGTCGTGGGGAATGAGTGAACAATTCCGAAAGGAAGGAAAGGAAAGGAACAGAGGACTAAAAGGTTCATTTGTGGCAAGCAAACGAGTCCGGAGAGCAGGCCGGCTGTGAAAGTGATGAACTAAAGGATGAGACAGGCTCCTTGCACCTGTCACATTCTCTCAAATCATCGAGGAGGATGAGGAGGAAAATGAAGGCGGCTGGGTTAACACATCACGTTATTGACAAAGCATGCGGAGGTGACAAACGTGTCATCTGCTGCTCTGCGAATCGTCAATGTCAGTGATTCGCAAAGTGTGGGCTCCCTCACATGGCATTGAAAAGAATCACTGCCAGGAAAGTTCAGTTTTATTTAACTTTTTACGATATATGCATTTAAACTTCAACAATTGTTTGTTTCTAAGCTTTTATTCAACACCGGCTTGTATTTACTTCGTATATTCATTAGATTTGAATGGAATCATTGTTTAGGTCCACTTTTAGTTCCCTATATTTAAGGACAGCTTTATGTTCCAGTGGATTTGAGTCATATTAAATATATACAACCAGTCACAAATTTCTGAACACTTTCTGATGCTATTGAATAGTGACGTGTCTCCATACTTTTGGCCTGCACTACGCTTTTTATCCTCTGCTGGCTGAAAGCAAATATATCATGAAAAATGACAGACTTGTGAGAATAAGCATACTATAGCAATTATACATTTTCAAACACCTGCAATTTTAACATGAATGTAGCAGCACCACATACAACATCATATTAAATGTTATACGTTTAACAACAAAATGTTCAACCAAGGCTAATAAATTTAATGACAGTTTACGATCTTAACGCTAACGAGAATGAGGAAAACGTCATGGAGGTTAATGGGAATTAGCGTTCATATTACAGAAATGACAACTTCTACTTTAAGTCCACTACCTTTATGCTAACATATAATGGAGCACTCCATAGAGGGGCTAACAAACATGAGCACATAAGTTACAGCAATTACAAACCTTCAAAGAACTTTGACTTTAGCGCAAATGCAGCAGTGTCACAAACAACAAAATACAATTAAACATTGTATATGTTAAAATCAAAACATATTTAATTGAAATGTAAGTCCGTTAGCTTGATACTAAGAATACTAACATATAAAACGAATAATAAACTCGAATAAGTAACAGAAATTAGCATAGATTTCGACGAACACTTACTCGGCATAGTAGGCTGCTGTTTTATTAATCTTGGTCACAATCGGGGAGGAAAATATTTGTTTAGGTGCTGATCGGTATGAAAGTTTGACAACCACTAGCTCTTGTAGTGCTTTCGCAGGCTGCGTTTCTGTAGTGGCGGCGGCGGTGTTGTTGGAAGCTACGTTGGAGCCTCCGGTCAGCTAATGGATGCTGTTGAGCCTTTTAACTGTTCACTATAGAAAATCAGATACATATAGTATAGGCGCCCCTTGAGATGAAGTTACATGATGCTTAATGTATTCCTCTTATGAACGCTAGCCTTGAGTGTTAGGGCTCTCACCTGTCACTTTATTAGGTACCGCATCGTCGAGGCTGCCTTTGTAAACACGTTTTGCGAAAAAGAAATCAAGTTGTCAGCGTGGAACGTGGAAAATAATTTGTCTGGACATACTGAACAGGGTCTTTCTTATTTTATTTTAGGAAAACATTTTGCAATTTGTCATTTTTTCAAATCAAAAATGTAATTATTAAAACTATGTTTTAAATTTATTTTAGTAAAACAATTTTAAAATGACTCATACAATAATTATATTTGAAGAAAATTGAAGCATAAATTAAAAACATGGCTAAAATATTTTTTTGAAAAGAAGTAAACTCTACAGCATAATAATAATAACATATTGGAAACACATTAATTATCGGTAAAAATAGCACTACGAAATAAATGAAATTACAATCATCAGTTACAAGTTGAAATGTAACTATAAACGATTTCACCAAAACATTGGAAACACTACTGCAGACTGCCAGTCCAAAACATGCATCACATCATAAACGTGTACCTCAGCTGTCACCATGGAAATCGTCATTATTAGACTGCTCAATTGTACCTATTGAGGTGACCATGATTGTAATTAAAATCAATATTCTAGCATTTTATTTCCCCAGAGGCTGACAAGTGAACATGCCACTCAGCACTCAGCCCAAGAAAGAAAAAAAATAAAGAGAAAAAGAAAAAAAGAATGAATGAATGAAAACAACCCTAAATATTCCACGATCAAGCAAATGGAGTGTGACAAGGCTCTGAAGTCCAAACGGTACCCCGCAGGGCCCGGGACAGCAGACGCGGCACGCACGAGCCGTGAAAAAGCTGCAGAATTTAACCCGTCACGCGCCGGCCACATGCGGACAACTCGCCTGTACGTGAGCGTCGACGAACGGGGAAGCGAGACGAGCGGGGGCCGGGGGGCGCCTACCTGCGTCCGATGATCCGGCAAGTGTCCGTCCGTCACTAGGTTTGTCGGCGGTGCAGATGTGCGTGAATGTTGCCAGGGTGGGGTCCCTCCTACCGTCTTCTCCCTCCTCCAGAGATGCTTTACTGCTTCTGCTGCTGCTGCTGCTGCTGCACTCGGCGACTCCGGCTCCACATTTGGAAGAGGTTCAAAAATGTTTCGGCCACTCGGAAGTACTCGACTCCTGTCGGGAAACAGGACATGCGCACACACGCACACGCAGCGACCCCACACGGCGCCTGTTTCCCCCCACTCGATCCACGGCGGGACAGCCGAATTGAATCGATGGTCGGCAAAGAGTCTCACGAATGAGCTTTGTGTCAGCTTGGTCTATTTTGCTCCGTTGAGAAGCGACAGATGCTAAATTTATCTAATCTCAATGGGACTTTTGAACAGCTCCTTTGGGTTTTAAAAACCTGCACCTGGTTGCCAGCCAATCGCAGGGCACACATAGACGACCATTTGCGCTCACACTCACACCTAGGGGCAATTTACCCGGAGAAAAGCCACGCAGAAAAAGAAAACTAATTTGAAAACTAATACAGAAATTACTGTAGTAGTGTGCAGTTGCAAAGTACACAAACAATGCAGCACCACATGAAATTGTACTGTAGCACTACCCACAGGTATATATTCTTTATCCTCAATGAAAAATGACAAAGAGAAGGTGACGGCATTTTCTTTCTTGTCTATTTCCCCTCTTTATTCATGACTTTTTTTTTTTTAAAACAACTTTCATAGAACGTCCTGTTTTTGTTTCACAAAAAGGCAAAACATCTCATTGGATCCCATACGAGAGCTGGAGCAACAAAGAACTTTTTTTTTTCCCATGCCTGAGAGGTATTGTTTTGATATCATGATCATGAAGAATTGCACTTCGGACTTTGTAACCGTGTCCCTCTCAGGGCACTAAATCAGGTATAAAAAATCAACACCTCAATCAAGACATGAGCATTAATAACTTCACCTCGGCCAGTATAAATATTCCTTGAGCCAGCATCCTCCTTCTCCCACATGATATATTTTCCCCCACAGACAGAAAATGATGGCACGCCATTTATTCGATATGCTTCATATCCCGTTCAAGGTTAATTTTGCTCCAAGATAAAACAGTCCAAGTGTATTCCCCCTGCCGGTAACAAGCCAAGGGAAATATTTTACATTGCCGCCACATCTGCACACGTACGTGGGGGACTTCTGACTAATTGTGCGGCAAGGACGAAGCACATTAGATATTCTTGACGAGTGAAAACGAACTCTTTAAAAAAAAACAGAAGCAGCCAAGTAGCTAATAGGAGGAGGGCATGAGGCCCTAATGGAACATTCAGCGTCTGTTAATGGAGACGGGAGGAAACTCTGGTATGTTCATTTTCATCTCACTGTATTAAAAGGATAGGCACTCATGCACTTCTCATACCAGGAAACACGAGCCTCCACCTTTTTTTTTTGGGGGGGGGGTTGTTTGGCCGCACAAACATGATTTCCCCGCTTTGACAAACAGCTGATTACCAAGAACCGTCCACGAGCGCTTTCAGTGGCAGCGGGGAGGTGACGGAGATAATGAACGGGTCATTATTCCCTTCCCTTCCGGCACGCTTTAAATAATGCTTGATTTAAAAAGTACTGACGGTAAGTACATGGCAACCGAATGTGAGCGGTTGAGGGATGCACTCGTTCCTAGATGTACCGATGGAGTCAACAAGCACGCGGCAGGAGGTTGCCATGTCAAGCTGAGTCATTAGCCCCTTTCATCCTGCTTGTAAAAGCTGGGAGATTTATGTAAAAAAGTGGACAAAATGGAAAGGAAACTGATGACGCAATCGTCTATGGCCCGACTGATCAGGATTTTTTTCAGCCCGATATTGAGCAGAATAAAATTTTGATGACTGATTAATCGCCCAAACAGTAGCCTGATTAATTGTAAAAAATATACATATATTGACTAAAATGGCTTCTTTTTTGGTCCCTCAACACTTACAATAATGATAAAGAAATGAATTATTAGCAGAATATTTAAATGTTTTACAATATTTTGTTCTATGGTATTTCTTTCACTTCACAACATAAAAAAAAAAATATGGGCTGGGGTGTTTAAACGTCATTACTTGTCTTATGTTAATGTGTATTTTGTTCATTATTTATTAATTTTTTTTTGGGGGGGGAGGGTTTAAACAGCTAAATATTGATTAGGCCCTACACTTGTTAGTTGTTCTGGGTAGTCTGAGACCCACAAGTGTGTATAGAGGTATGCCCTACTGGCAGGAGTGTGACGTTTAACACCTGACACTCTCCTGTTGTGTTGAAAGCAGTTGTTGCTGTCCGACAACTATTTTACAGGTGTCATAACACGTGGCTTTTCCATGAAATTTCTGGGAAAACCCACAACTTTTTGTGAGTAATTATCTACACATGTTGGACATTAAAACTGTTGCAGCTCTGAAGCTGTAAATTCTTTGGGACATCTTCTCAAAAGAGTCGATTTTGTTACTGTCAAAAAGCTCTTCCGGATGCTACATCAGCCGCCTGCTTCGCCTTCTGCCGTCGTCAGGCTTCGGCGGGGGCGGTGGGGGGGCGGACAGTTTGTGAGCATCAAAGTCCAATTTGTGTTGCAGGATCCCGGAGAGAACGAACTCGGCCGAGACGACCGGGAGCGACGCCGAGACGGCTGCGCGGCACAGCGGCCAATCCTCCGGGCAGGAGATCACCACCGTGTGAGGCTGATGAGGGAGGACACAAAACAAACACACAGACACACGTTTGTTTTTGTCACTTTCGAGATTAGGGGAAGACACATTTGCCACGCTAACTTAAATTAATTCAAATGCATAACTCTTGTCAAGAATGGCAACATTTCATGAAGGCATTTAGATGGGAAACTTTAGCAGCTTATTTTACCAGGAAGTTTGTGTTGTATTTATACAAATACCAAATTATAAATGCAAATATATAACTTGAACAAACAGAAAATAAATGAGTTACAAAGTAAACCAATAGTAGATTCAAATCATATCAATTAAAAACAAGCAATACAAATAAGTGCTGGCCGTTTTTGCTGTGCAAACCATGGCCTCTAAGGGGCAGTGTGGAGCATGCATGGAGTACAAATGGGAAGATAAAGAGTAGGAAAAAAAGTTGTGATTTTGCGTTTTTAGTTTGTGCCTTTGAGTGTTGTTTTGTTACCGGTCTGTAGGTGTTCCTACAGCATTTGTGTGTCAACATTAATTTTTTGAAGGAATATCACCACCGTAAGTCAACTCTAATTTAGTATTAGCACGTGAATAGAAATTTACATTGACTGCTAGCATTAGCACTGTCGATGTGTCTAAAATAAAGCATGTCTTGTCATGTGGGAAATATATACAATGTGTCTTTTTTTTTCTTGTATCTTTAGTTTTACAGTAAACTCCAACTCGGAGTGTCAATCAACAACTTCAAGCATGTTCAGCAAGGGTATAAAAACATACACGTCACATGCTTGCTGCAAAAGCGACACAGAGCATTCAGGAAGCCAAAATTGGAATCCCGATTAGATTTCAATTGCCCAGCCGTATTAGAAAATACACTCGATGTGATCGCACTTCGCACCTTGTGTGAAGAAGGCATCTTTGGGAGAAACGTGGCTCCGCTGCAGGAAATGATGTCTCTCATCTGGTGTGGCTCGGGCTTCACCGACTTGGTGATGTGGATCTTGTAGCCCTGGAAAAGAACACAAAGCAAAACCATGATTTTGTTTTGTTATTTTTAAATGCCTGCACAGAAATGATCAATACATTGTTGTTCCGGGCGGTTCTCATGTTCTTGCGGCTTTCTTTGTTTGTTATATTGAACAATCTTTTAAGTGACTCAGCACAGTGGCCTGGCCCAGCACTGACTCTGTTTAGATCCTGTGTTAGCATGCCGGCTAAGTCATCATCAACATTAATCCGACCGCCACGTGGGGCGGAAGAACAGAAATCCTCTCGGTAATAAACGGAATGAACGCGTGAGCGCACCTGTAAGAGAGGCTGGCTGCTGGCCAGCCTCAGAGACTCCTGCAGCCGGAAATTGAACTTCTTCTCCTGCTCTGGATCGCTCAGGATGAAGGCGTCGGGTGGCAGCAAGCTCCCGGCTTTGCCGCTCTGCAACAAAAACTCTCAGACCTTGCAGACGTATGCTAGAACTTTTTCATTTTCAGTGATCGTTCCGTGACCGACCTTGTCCAGCCAGTGTATGTTGACGATGGGGATCCCCTTGGCCACCGCGCACATGAACTTGACAGTCCGGCGCACCTTGTCGGCCACGAGGCAGTTCATGTCTGCGGTGCCATTAGCCACAGAGCCTCCAAGACGGGCCAGCACTCTCTCCCCGGTTTCGTCCACCACGCCTGTGAACAGCACCTGAGCAGGAGACAACGGTTACTGCAACAAAACCAAAACCAAGGTGCCATGATGACTTCTTCGTCATCTTGGCTGCCTTTCCAGCAGCTCCTATATTTTGTTGTTCTACTTCTTCCATTCATAACTTTGCTGCTGTGAATTGGGAATTTCTCCATTGCGAGACTAATAAAGGTTTTCTTATCTTATCTTATCTTATCTTCTAAAGAAGACAAAGAAGGAGCAACTTCTGCCGGAAGCACATTTAATCCACCAGGATTGTGTCTTTGGCTCCAATGGAGATTCAGGTTAAGGTCAGCCATTTTAAGGTAAAAAGAAAAAAGTAGTTATAAAGTGGACATCTCATTGTCCTCATGTGCTTTCAAACACAGAGCGCGCTTTGCTCGCATTCATTTGCATTTGATTTACTTTCTATGTACTGCCTGCACTGGTCTCCGTTTTTTGGGGGCACTCTGAACAACAGAGCAGCACACTTGAACAACGTTCAGCAACACACGAACCTTGTAAGAGTGGCTGGCGTCACGTGGTCGGCAACTCGGTGACAGGGAAGCGGAAGAGTTGCTGGTGGTCACGGGGGAGGATTTCACGAAAGGATTTCCCTTTGAAAGATCAACACATTAAATCAGTGTTGGGAAGCCATTCATTTCCCACGTCGTTGACTAGTGCATCAACAGTGACGTTAGCGGTGAGTGAGGGGTACTCCGGCGGGCTTGGTGAGGGGAAAGAATGTGTCATGCTTTCAGTGATGATGACTTGAAGCGCATTGGTTGAAAAAGGAGAGGTGAAAGTGGACTTTCCTGAAAAAAAGAAATATATATATATATATACACAAACACACACACATATACAGTATACATATATATACAGTATATACACACACACACACACACACACATAGATACAAAATTTTTGAAAAAATGGATGGCTGTGGTGCATTCTGGTGATATCTGTAAACAAAATTCAGACAAAACTTGAAAGTAAAATTTCCACTTTTTATTTCTTACTCCTGATAATAATAGAAAGTAAAACTTAATAATCACTTCCATCAGTTCTGCGATTGAAACATGTTTTGATTTTTTTTTTTTTTGTGCATTTTTCTTTGAAGAGCCACTGCAGTCAGACTCGGCTTGTTCCTTTTCCTCTCCTGGGAATGCTTCATCATCGTCTTCTTCAACTTCTTAGCTCGTTGATGAACAGTCACTTTTGAGGCAGGATTCCGCTGCGTTGTATCAGTCACTTTCAATTGTTTAGCTCTCCTATTTCTTTTTCAGCCTGCAGTTTCCTCTTGTATCTGCCATAAGCTGTCTGCATATGATTTACCATACTCTGGTCCACTGGATCATGATGTATGTCATCTCGGTGGAAATCTCATGATGTATATCATCTCGGTGGAAATCCCTTAAGGCTGCCTTCAGGTCATATTTGACGGTTTGTATGGCTGAATATGTCCTGATAGCTAGCCTATTTGACTTGGGGTCGATAATATCATTCATGACACTGAATGACTGCTCTATTCGTGGCCCAGAAAAGATGCTGAGACAGGCCTTCACTACTTTACCCAGAGCTGGATAGCTTGGCATGACCTCAGCCCACCAGTGGTCCAGACGCTTGACCTTTGACTCTCCATCGACGACTATGGCACAATCTGGAAGGGTAGAGTCAACTTGGATTCTTGAAATTTCTCCGAGATACAAGTCTGTGTCACTGCTGGAGCTCATAACAGTGGGGAAATACTCCACGAGCTTCTTGAGATGACTGTGTGTCACAGAGTGCCCTTGTGCTTTCGGGTCAATAGCTGACAAACACTTCAAAAGTTGATTGCTGAGAGGAAGCTTTCCCTGGAGATACTGCGCCGCAGCAACATATGCTTCTCTGACCCTCTTTCTGAATTGTTGCCGCAAGCTGTTGTCGCTTGACAATCCTTTCAGAATGTTTTCTGCAGTCTCTCCGATGAAAATATCTTTTGCGGGCAGATGCACGGATGCATCACTGACGTCTATCGTTTGCAACTGAGAAGCAGAAATGTCCCGTACTTTCTCTTGTTGCATGAAACAGGCGAGGAAATGACGAAACAAATCTGTCTGCTCGTCGTGAAGCCTGTGCACCATTGGTTCCTTCCGTTCGAACGTCAGGACAAAAGACTTGAACGTGAGTAGGACAGATACATACACGTTCATGGTCAAAATGGTTTTGTCTCTTTGATAGAACAGTTTGTCCACAAGTCTGAGTTTTCGTTTTCGTCCATTGTCGGTGAGACCTTTGGTGGCACACTCCATTTGTATGGCCTGGACCCTTTTTGTAGACTGTTCAGACAGCTTTTCCAGAAGATGGTCAGTGTGGATGGCATAAACTGGCTGAAGATCGTTAGGAATCCAGGAAGCATACAGCAACGTTAGTGGCTCAATGATGGATAGATTCCTCTCCGTGACATCATAGGTGGACACCCAGCGGTGTGATACTCTCCGTGTCGGTGCCAGGTACCTCACTCCTAATATCGTGCAAAGCTCTTGCAGGTACTCTTTGATATCGGCGCTGCTCTTTGCGTCCGTGAAAAGATCATCACAAAGTTTTTCCACTTGAGATTCAAAACCACTGCAGAATTTCCTTACAGCATTCTGAATGTGGTGACAGGTGTCTCCATCGATATCCAGCAGGTGTGGCGCACTAGATCGCAGAAGAGTTTCAACGCCTCCCTTCTCGCCGCTCGTGTCATTGGCAGAAGGCGACAGATTAGAAATTAAGTTCTCCAGTGGTATGGAATCTTTCTCAAAATTTTCCAATATGATCGAGTGGATCGCGGCTGCATTAACTACAGTTAATGTTGTTGAAAGGTAATGTTGGACAACACACTCATTCTGCGCATCTCTGTAGTAGCTCACCAAAATACTCAATACTTTTTCGTTGTTTGTGCTCGTGCATTCATCAATGTTCATTGAAAACTTGTGGATCTGCAAATCTTTGACGAGTCGTTGATGCACAACTTCTGCGAGACCGTCTTTGAGCTTATATGAAGCTGTGGTCCTCTCCATTTTCATTCCTTGGCTTGCTTTGGGATCTCTTCCAAACTCCTGTGCAAAATTGATGAGGCGAGGTATTAAAGTCAGTGGCAGTGAGTGTTCGGAGATGAATGCTAGTGTCATTGCTTCTAAGTGAGCTTTTCTGTCCTGAATACTGATGTCTGGACGCGGTGGCTGAACCAGCTCAGAGCAGCTGCTACTGTCAAGTATATTAGGCGCAGCTCCGTTTGGCAGACTGGAGAAAGGCTTGGTAGTTGTTCCTTCGTTCGTGGCTTTGGTTGCACTGAAGACTGCGGGAAGGGACTGCTTTCTTCCCATGGACTTCCTCACAGCATTGTGCTTCGCTTTCTTTGAGTGGATTTTCAAATCTTTCTTCCCCGATGATCCGTACTTTAGGGTAGCATTGCACCAAATACAGAAGGCAAGCCCTGAAAGAATATGATAAGAATGAGTGAAAAAAATAATGCAGGTTTTATTTCTGAAATGAAATCACACAGACACATAAAATAAAATATCAATACACTAAGTTTACGGACCTATGTAAGACTACAGCGATTTAAGTCTGGACCATATCATTCATTGGTACTTGAAATTTACTACATATTTTTCTTAAAATTGACATTACAGAGACACTTCAAACAGGTATCTCCACATATTTAAATAGATATGAAGCATAACATATCTGTGTATTCATTACTATATATTTTAGCACACTGAAGACATTAGAAGCCTCCAAAAAGTCTTGAACCTAAAAAAAAAAAGTGGGCGGAAGTTCCCCAAGGCCCAAGCCCAGATTTTTTTTGCCACAAAATCACATTTGTCATTAAAATATGCCTGCTTATCTCAAGACAAATGAATTAAGTGAAGTATTCAGTAAAAAGACATCTAAAATTGTCCTTTTCGTCACATTATACATATTATAGTATAGACACAGAATGTCCACGAAACTATATCCTAGAATTTCTATACCATGCAGCAAAACATGTTCAAGAAGTTGATCTGTAGTAATTACTATTAACTTTTAAGTCTCAAACTTGTTACGTCGCGTTGTACTGATACACTCAACCAGATTGCTCACTATCTGAGATATAGATATGGATCTAGTAATACTAATAGTATTATGAGTTGCCTTTAATATTTTGAGATATACATAATATATATATATGATTTTAAGTGACTTACCAGGTTTGTCGACCTTTCGAATGTAGTCGGACAAAAAATCTCCGTTCAAGTCCTTTTCTTCAAGCCATGACCACTTGAACGCGTTCTTCACACTCGCGTCTATTGCGCGTATGTCAGCTTGCCTGTCTACCTGTTTGAACATTACGCATGAATTACTTTACACAAAACGCTCAAATACCCAACATTCAATGATTCATCTGGATTTTGTGTGCACAGGTGCACCCTTTCCGGCTTCTGCTCTCGGCGAAATTTAGAAAGGCCATGCGAGGGGAGGGGTGTGACTGTTACTAGCGTTAGTGCCTCCACATGGCTACGCTCGCGAAAGCAAAACAACAAACTCAAACGCGTGTTCGTTCAATGTTGCCAACTAATATCCGGATTAATTGTAGGCAATTTTTCCGGAGGAATTTTCATGAAAATTTGAAAGACTTTCATCACTGAAAAAGGGTGAATCAGAAGGGAGACAAGCAGCAGCAGCGGCAGCACTCAAGATGATGTTCTGCAGTATCAATCATCAGCAGGCAGTACCCACGTAATCATTCACGAGAGACAATTAAAAGCAGGAATAAATGTTCGCCTGTCAGATGTAAATGCTCATCAACAAATGCTACATTTGGCCATAAAGTAATAAAAAGTGCATTGTCGTTGGGACTTATTTGGATTTTTTTTTAAACTACAGGCCTACTATCTTTCCCATTTGAAGAGTTAATATAAACGAATATTCAAGGTGATTTTTTCCCCCCTCCTCATTCCCATCTTGGCGCCCCCTGGAGTCCCTGGCGCACATAGCATCCACCTCAATGTCCGAATGGCCCCGTATTCTGCTTTGACCGATTCTGTCTGAAAGGCACGAGCCAAAGTATGGCGCCTCGACCGTCATCATCAAGTGAAAATCTCGTTAGCACGTGGGCAACCACCAATATTTCAGAGTTCATATCAGTCCAAAATCCAATTGAAGAAAAAGTGTAGACCGACTTACCTGGGCGCCTTCACCAGAACCGCGGACAGATGTCGCATTTCCATGCTCGGTGGCTACGTCGGGGGTAGAGTCCCTCGCATTCCTGCCCCCCTGAGCACAGGACGCTTTGGCTCTTCTCTTGGCTTGGACAGGAGCTGGCTTCTCATCTTGCGCTTCTGTCTTCATCACTCGCTTCCTTCCTTCTACCACGTCTTTGGCCTCCGCCTCATTGCTGCCCGAGGGAGTGACCAGCACCTCGAAGGCTTCGCCTTTTACCGTCCTCTGAGCTCTACCCCTGATGTTTCTTTGAGGGAGGCGAGATTCACCGGCGGAGTTGTTCCCCTCACATGCATTTGAGGGTTCTTTTACAGTTGCTCGCCTTCTCCCCCTCGTGACAGGCGCCTGTTTTGAACCGGGCTTCCCTTTGTCATTTTCATCATAAAGCGCAGTGGGGGAAACGTCTGCCTTCTTGCCCCTTTGGCCCCGCGACCGAGGTGTAGGAGCGGGACTCTGACTGGAGATAGGCGGGATTGGGCTGGGCCCGGGTTCGGTTTTGCGCCCGCTTCCCCGTTGCCTCCCTCCTCTCCCTCTCTGAGAGCCGAGGCTGCTGCAAGACATGTCCGAAGCGAGGGAGTTGGAGGAGCTGGATCTGGAAAGTGTACCCATGGCAGGAGGGCCGTGACTGTCCTGCCCTCGGCCTCGATTCCCTTGGGCGCTTGAAGTGGACACCTCAGAGCTGACAGAGTTGGAGCGTAATCTGGTCCTCTTGGCCGGGACATCGTCTTGATCTGCAGCTGCGACAGGAAGAGCGGCAACGGTTCTTCTGGTTCCTCTTCGGGCTCTCGGGGTGGCCTCGGGTTTTCCTTCTTGGTTGTGTTGAGGCGCTTTGTCTGCTTGATCCCGTCTCGGTTGCTCTTTCGTTTCCGTTTCCAGTCTCTCGTGTCTTTGTCGATCCTCCGCCGCTTCCGTTTCTTCTCCTTCCTTCTTTCCCCTGCGTGCATTTGGACCTTGTCGTCTCTCTGGCTTCCCGCCTCGAACCCCGAGGGGATCGCTCTGCCGCCTCGTGGCCTCTTCCTCAAGCGCACTCCCAGCAGGCCCCGGCTTCCCCATCTTGCTTCTTGTTTGTCTTTTTTCCCCGGGCTCCTCCTTTTCTCTCAATTGTGACCGCGTTCCTTTTGAGTGTTTGACAGTGACACTCGTTCCGACTTCAGATTGACTCTGTTGGGCCCGTGGGCTTGGTTCGTTTGCGCTCCTTGGCTGACAGTCAACCGCAGAAGGTGCAGAATTTGGGATCTCACATCTCTCGTCCTCGCCTTGAGAAGATACGAGCGACTGAGTCTCATCTTCAATTTGCAGCGGCTTGGCTTTTCTTTTCCTCGAGCCGGGGATGAAGATCTCGCTGTCGGCCTCTTCCTCTTTACACGTGTCCATGGGTGGAGTTCCAGCTGAAGAAACTTTGGCTTTTTCTTCTTGACCAGGACCCAGTTCATCTTCATCATTGTTAGGGAAGGTGTCAAAATTAGTCTGAGTCTCCTCATCTTCTGGTTGTATCGGAGTTACCGATGGGGGCTCATTACTGCTCCCTGGGACTTCGGCTCCGTTCTTTGACGGACTTTTCTCATTCCAACTGTCTGATGGGATTTCAAGAGTACTGCTGAGGGACTGCGTGTCCTCGATGATTTGCAGCGGCCTTGCTTTTCTTTTACCACGCAAGACTGGAATGGAGTCCTCATCCTCATCGCTTTCCTCACTTGTAGCCAAAGGCTGGGTCGCTGCTATACTTACAGGTGGGGTTGTAACTGCGCAAGAACTTGTAGTGGCTTGCGTCTCTTTATTGAGCCGCACTTTGCTCACGTGCAAAACCTCGACTGAGTCTTCGACATCCGTTTCCTCATTTTCACTTGGAGTCATGGGCTGGGTCGGGGCTATACTCATAGACAGATGATTACCCGCTAAACTGCAAGAATTTGTGTGACGTTGTGGGTCTTTATCAAGCTGTATTTTTCTTTCATGTAAGACTGCAATCGAGTCTTCATCTCCGCTTTGCTCATTGGTGGTCACAGGCTGGGTTGCGACAGCCAAGACGTTGGAACTCGTACTGGGCTGCTCCTCGTTATTTGACTGCATTTTACTTTCATGCGAGACTTCAGTTGAGTTTTTGCTGACAGTTTCCGCACGTTTACTCGAAGTTATACGGCAAGGCTGATGATTAGCAGGCAAACCGCAAGAACTTCCTTTGGGTTTCATTTCTTCATCAAGTTGTATGTTTCCTTCAGCCAAACCTGGACTCGAGTCCTCGTCGTCGCTTTCTTCAATTTCAGTCGCAGCCATGGGCTGGGTTGCGGCTAAACCCCAAGGTTGATGATTAGCAGGCAAAGCAGAAGAACTCATATCGGCTTTCCTTTCTTTATCAAGCTGGACTTTTCCTTGAGCCCAGACAGGAATGGGGTCTTCATCGTCGCTTTCTTCAAATTCACTTGTAGCCATGGGCTGGGTTGCGGCGATACTCATAAGCTGACAATTCACAGCCAAAGCAGAAGAACTCTCAATGGGCTGCGCGACTTCATCGAGTTGTACGTTTGTTTCGGATAAGACTCCGATCGGGTCCTCTCCATGACTGTCTTCCGTTTGACTTGCAGCTGTGGGCTGCTTTTCCATGATGTCCACGTCGGTAAAAAGTTGAGTTGCTTCTTCAAGCTGCGGCTGCTCTGCGCTCGCGCCCTCGGCTTCTCTTGCACACCCAAGCCTGAATTTGCCAATGGTGGGAGCGACAAATGGAGTTTGTGCCTCCGCGTGTTCTTTGCTCAGATTTCTTTTTTTAGCAATCTGCTTTCGCTTCAAAGGGGCAACAGGATTGTCTGGGGTTGGACGCTCCTCTTCCTGGCAAGCAACCACGAGTTTGGTTTCAGCCAAAGCGAGGGAAGAAGAGGTGGGCAAGTCAAAAGGAGGTTGGGTCTCTGTATCTTCCTTCGGCTCTTCTTCAGACTCACTGCAAGGCTCTGAAATATAGGCCTGCGTTTCTTGAAAAGCAAGATTTACCTTCGGACTCCCCGCGGGCATGGCTGGACTACTGTCGGGCGCCTCGCAGGCCTCGTAGGCCTGGGTGGCCTCGATGTTGAAGTCATTGCCAAGCGAGGCCGTCGTGTCTGCATTTGGTGGCTTTGTATACGCTTGCGGATCAGAGTCAAAGGCCTGGGTGCTCTCCATAGCCAGAGCTTGGGCTGCACTCTGAAGGTGGCTGCTGTCAGACAACCCCAGCTGGAAGGACACTGCCCCGCTAGCCAGTTCGTCCGTGTCCTCGCCGGATGACTCACAGCCCGAGGCTCGGTTGGCGCCATCGTCGCAACTCCGGATCTGCCCTTGGGGCTGAAGGATGAACGACTGCGTCTCGGCCACAGCAAAGTCCTCTTCCTCCTCCTGGCCGTTTGAGGCTGCAGCTCTTCCCGCACCGTTGAAGACACCTAAGGTAAGGCAAGGGAAAATTTGGGGGGGGGCTTTAAGCATTGTCTTTGAAATATGGAAAAAGTTACCAAATAAAGCTATTTCCCACCCCGGGGCTACAGTTTGGTTCGGATCAGGTAAACCCCAATCAGGCCTGTGTCAGGGATATTCTAACTTTGGAGTTCTAATTATAGTTAGTTAGTTTTTATTTGGGTTGGAATTTTTTTATGTAGTTTGTTTTAATTCGTTTTCAGGGCAGTTTTATGATTTTTTTTACTTGTTTTAGTTTTTTCACAAATACTAGTCATGAAATTTGGTGTTTTACTTGTGTGCAAAATTAAATAGAGCTTGGATGTCTTGTTTCGTCTCAACATGATTTGTGGGCTTAATTTTTACTTTTTTTTGGGGGGGGGTATACTGTACATCTTTTTTTCATATATATGAAATAAAAAAGGGAAGTACGTTTTACCTCGCGTTGCATTTCGGGCTGAGTTAAATGACAGAAGCTGGGCAGCCATTTGAGCCGAAACCACAAAACCGCTTCAAATCGTGAGTTGCTCAACACTAACTTACGTTCAAATGGATCCAGAGAGGGTGGGAGGAAAGCTTGGGTCGCCATCTGTTCCACGTCTCCTTCTGAAAACATTCAGGTCAAAATAACAACAACATCCTTAACTCAGAGCATCATCATCTTACCAAAACTTTCTTAGCTGCATAGCCAAAAGAAATGTGAGAAAAATCTACTGAAGTACATCCCGAATCTGCATGCATTTTCAAATGCGCTTGTTCTAATTTAAGGTCAGGGCCAGGGTGAGCTGGAGTCTATGCCGGCTGACTTTGGCTAAACCTTGCGTACAACCTGCACCGATCATCGGCCAATCAGAAGAAGCACTCACCGAGTCTTCAATGAACCAAGTATAACTGTTTCGGGAATGAGACAAGAAGCCAGAGTCCCACGGCAGAACATGCAAACAGCACCGTTTTTAAAACCCAAACCTCAAAACTGTGATGCAGACATCGAAGTTAAAAGTGTAGGTTGAAGTGTGTTTTTAACACGTTTAAAAGTGTTTTAGGAAGATTTACGTCTGTTTTGATACGTTTGATTGCGTTTCAAGCGCATAGGAGGGGTAAAACTATTTTTTTTTTGGGGGGGGGATTTGATACGGTCTCTATCGCAGATTGTCTTTCACTGGTGCGTATCCTCTCGAGAAACAGAGGTTCACGGTACAAAGGTAAGAATTCTCAGTTCTGACTGATGAGTTGTGTATTTGGCTTGATGACAGAGAAACAATCACAACAACGAACACATTTTTGAGGCAGCTCTTCGTCAATTGCACAGATGTAACTCATCTTGTTTTTACCTGACAGTTGCACAGGGGTCGAGCAATTTTGCACTTCTGGAAACTGTAGACCTTCTGTCCGTGGAAGAGTTATTGCATTTTTCTCTTCTTCCGCATCTGTATCACTGTCCCGCTCAGCAGGGGGCGCACTGGACTCATCCACATCAGTGTCTTTGTCAGACTCTGACTGAGCAGCTGCTGCGGCGATACCGGGAGTGGCTGAGGAGGGCGCGGTGGCGACAGGTGACGAGCGGGGAGGATCTTGGACCGCATTGCTGTTATGTGATCCTGCAGCTGAATCACTGACATTTGCTTGCGTATTAAGACCGAGGAGGGCCTGGTCGTCTTCTGGCTCTGAAACGTCCCCGAACAAGGCTAGCCCGGAAGGTGCCGTATCCCCGCTGTTGTCGTCAGCCTCCTCGTCCACATCTGTGTCGCTGTCGAGCTGGAAGTCATCTGGCAGCAACGGAGGAGCCGCATCACCTTTTTTACCCTCGGCTTTCGCGTCAAGATGACCTTCACCTTCCTCGGGCTGTGCGGGAGGTGCCGTTGGGGCTCCTGTGTCATCGTCGTCCACATCTGTATCACTGTCCATACGAAAGCAATCGACGTCCGACCTCTGGTCAGGTACCGCTTTGGGCTCGCCAGCGTCCTCCTCCACATCAGTGTCACTGTCCATGTTAAATTTAGAGATGGCATGTGGGGACTCGGTGCTTGTGGACAGTTGCGGCAACTCCTCCTCCGTAAAGCTGGCCGGGGTTTTCAGCTGCTCGAGCACAGAGTGTGCCGTTCCCGGCGTAGGGCCATTTTCTGCCGCCCCCGCCTGCTCCTCGTCACTGTCGTCCACAAACGCTAGCGTGTCCTTTTTCTGCTGGCCCCCAGCATCCACGTCCGACTCTTCTTTGCTGAAACTGACATGACCGTGAGACGTCTCTCTGGTAGATGATGACGACGTGATGGGTGTTCCATCTGCACAGTCGGGGCTATGGAAAAGACCGAGATTATTGCTCAGATGTACAAGCAGCTTCAACTTTCCGTATATAATCGCGAGGCCATCATTGGTGTTTTGGTAGCTATCCATCCACTTCCTTCAACACTTGCGCTCGTTGGGGTCGCGAGTTAGCTCGTACCAGGGTGAGAATAGTTTTGGGAATTTTAATTATAGTTAGTTTTTATTTCATTTTGAGTTTTTTTTTAACATGGTTTGTTTTAATTAGATTTCAGAATGGGTTTGTTAGTTCGGATTAGTTTTATCCATCCATTTTTTGAACCGCTTTATCCTCAGGAGGCTCGCGGGCATACTGGGGGCTATCCCAGCTGTCTTCGGGCAGTGGGCGAGGTATACCCTACACTGGTTGCCAGCAATCGCAGGGCGCACAAAGTCAGACAACCATTTGCCCTCACAATCACACCTAAGGACAATTTAAGAGTGCCTCATCAACCTGCCACGAGTGTTTTTAGTTTTTCAAAAATACTTTCTTTTAGTTTACTTTTTATTGGTTTTAGTATGACTTCTTTGTTTTTTTTTACGTCACGTTTTGGGCTGAGTGTGACAGCCACTCCAAACAGACAAGCCACAAGCATTGCTGTCGCCTCAGGGCAACATCATCCGGTGGCAGGCATGTTATTTATTTATTCTAGGTGACACACAGCAAGGACCACAACTCCCTGACAACTGTTCGACCTTCCTTCATCCGGCAGTGCTGTAATACCCCAAACATACATTTGTAATCAACCCCAAAAGCTCATATATTCAATTTAATTACCAAAGATGACATTTTGTCAATGTTTATTGTAGTTTCAGTTCGTTGTTTTTTTTTTTGGTAAGCATTTTCGTTTTCATTTGATGTTCACGTAATTCTTTTTTCAACTTTAGATTTTGTTTGGTACACGCTGATTTGAGGGATCGGTTAAAAAAAAAAAAAAAAAAAAGTAAAACATACCTTTCAGGGACTATTTTGTTTGTGGGACTCAAGAAGGTTGAGCAGGTGGGGCTGGAATCTGATCCTGTAAGTATCCAAGAAAATTAGGAAGGCAGACACCACAACATGGAGGCCAAAATGATAAATGGACGGAGGATAAATTCAGTGCACTACTTGCCCGAGAGGAAGGAAAATGACGGGAAGTTGAGCTACATCGCCCATCCCTACTTGCTAAACCGTTTTCTGTACCGCGACAAATCATACACATACCTTGAAGCTTACGCCGGCTCTCTCTGTTCCTTGGCCTCTCCCCGTCAGAGTCCGACTCTGATTCTGGGACCAGAGTCCGCTGCAACTGGACTGGCGTGGCCTCAAACGACACACAGCTGTTCTTTGCAGGCTTCTTCTCCGCTTTACCCAGAGGCGAAACCTTAGCCCAAGCCTGCGACATCTCCTTGAGGCCATCTCTCTTCTCGACAGAATCCCTCGCTAAACTGATACCAACACCCGACGGCTGACCCCCGATGTTTTGGTGTGCATCGCCAATGCCGAGGTACTGACACGGCATGTCCGCCATGAACAGACGGTTCCCCTCGCTGAGGGGGTAAGGTATGTTGGGGATCAACTTGATGCGGCCAATGCGGGTGCCGTTCATGCTGCCCAAGTCCCGCACCACGGCCTCAATCTCCACTCCGCTGCGGGATCCTCGCCTCTGATGGAGGGAGATGCGGATGGCGGCGTGCTGTTTAGACACGGAGGGCGCCAGCAAGGGCAGCGTGCAGGTGCTAACGTCACGACCGAGGACGTTATCACCCATAAAAAGGGGAAATTCTGTGGACAGAAAATGCAATGTCAGCCAAATTAGGGGAATAGTTATTCAATAAGCATGCTAAAAGACATCTCAACAAAGGTAAGAGTTGGAGTTTTTAATTTATTGATGCCTTTATCTTCCCTTTTTATGAAAATGAATATTGGCTCGAAATACTGGTGATTGGTCACCTTGATTACTAATAATTGGTATCAGCATTGGGTGTGCATCAAAGCCCTTATGTTGAGACTCATATCATGACCTACAGAACGTTGGTTTATTCACTTGCCATTTGAATGCTAGAAACGAATCCACTCCTTAGTGTCCGCTCAGAAATTGCGTTTACTTTTTGCACACACAGCGGTAACTTGACTTAAAAAAACCACTCCTTAGTGTCCGCTCAGAAATTGCGTTTACTGTTTGCACACACAGCGGTAACTTGACTTGCAAATTTTAATTCGTTCTGTCTAAGCTCCTAACTCATACACACTCGTGCCAGTGTATCTGATCAATATCACCCGCTGAAATGCCATTAGTCCAATTAACCCCAAAAAACACAAATCATTGTTTAAGTTTCTAAAGAAAAAGACACTCGCACTGTATCGCAAATACAACATTGTAGTGGATGGTATGTGTGCTTGGGTTTAGTACGTGGCCCACTTGGCCTCGGGTTCCACTGCCTCTGATGGCTACACAGCCGCTACAGGCCTGCCTCTCACCTCTTTCAGGAACGTGGTCATTCTTCAAGATGCAGAGCTTGGCTAAAGGTTGCCGTGCCTTGTTTGGCTTCTCTTCCTTTTCCTCCTCATCTGACTCAAACAAGGAGTCGTTGACGGCCTGAGTAGCGTCCATTCCTCGCCAGGAAGGAGGCAGTCTGCCAATCATAATCACACATTTCATATGCAATTGTTGTAGCCTTCTTCTAAGCCACCATCAGATGCTACGAGGCTAACGTTAGCGTGAACGGTTATGTGCTCCTGCGAGAACGTTCGCATAGCAGCTGCCCTGACCGAATCCGCCACCAAATCTTGTGCTTTCATCGCGTTAGCGAACAAACTGATAAGATGAGTTTAGGACTCAAACGTAACTGCATACATCCAGCACAAAAGTAACAAGGCAAGTTCAAAGCAACCGGGTTGTTGATCATTCTGATGGCTAAATGTTGTACATTTTCCTATTTGATATCATAAGTATGAACCTAGAACATGGTGAAAGTAACTAGTGTAGACTTGCCTCGCGGAACACCACTTCACTCAAAGAAAAGATAAACAACTTTAACGTTTTTCCGGGTGGCGCTAGATCACGCCTACAATAATGTCAAGACCTCGCGTAATTGGTCATGGTGAGGGTATTTCATATGTACTACACACCCATTGGCTATTTGCACTTCTCTTCTGGATTGTCAAGTCTCTGATTGGATCAAAATTATGGAGTTGTTTCGCGCCACGTGTCTCTTAAAGGGTACGCGGAATTTTAAAAAAATGGTTTGTGTTATTTCCTGAAAGGGAAGATTAGGTTGCTGCCATACACACTGTAGTTATTTTTGACTAAACTATGTAAGTATTCCTGTGGTTAGATAAATTTAAAAAGTAGCCTATGTTTTGGCCATTCGGCCTTGCTATGAATTGCTAATGAAGAGCCTTACTCTCCTTCAATGTATACACTTAAACATTTATAAAATTTGTATAACATCCATACCTCTTATCAGTGCCTGAATAAATGCAGCGATGTTCGAGCGAGGTATTTTTTACGTGTGGCTTATTATTCCTAATGCCCGCTTGGCCATCTTGTCATGTTGGTTATGCAGCCTTAACCATAATATTGCTTACAAAGCAGATATTACATGACTTAATACAGCGCTATTATCCTGGTCTGTTGCCACTGGAAACTATGCCTGAGTGTGCTGAATTACTTTCTTATTCCTCGTGGTTGCAGGCCCTGAGGTCCATTAATTCCCACAAAAATTCTTTACTCACAAGAAATATATTATATATATTACAAAATGGGGGCTTTGTATTTAACCAACGCTAGATTTCACACTGAAATCTATTTGTGAGTAACTGAGACGAATTTATTAATTTATTCCCCCAGCCTAATCTATATTGTGACTACAGGTACTTGTTAATTTACTGATATTTGAGGGAATTTATTCATTTAGTGTAAATGCCCACAAGATGGCGCCAAATCCCGATTTAATATGAAGTAGCCCTTGGTGCCATTTTGGAACCTGAACTAAATCATGTTTTGCAGATTGAAAAGTGAATCGCCAGGGTGAGCAATGATAAAGAGACAGCAGCTTCTCATTTGACAGATTTTATTGGAGATGAATGACATGGGGACACTAACATTGTCTAAAAGAATCGGATTCTAGCACAGCTTGATACTATGTGGTCTCCTGTTACATAAGCGGTGGGCCCTTTGACTTCCTCGTCAATCCTCTTCTCTTAAGCGTCTTCCTCGGCGTCCTCCTCGAACTCGCCCTCTTCCTCGGCCGTGGCGTCCTGGTACTGCTGGTACTCAGACACCAGGTCGTTCATGTTGCTCTCGGCCTCGGTGAACTCCATCTCATCCATGCCCTCGCCTGTGTACCAATGCAAGAAGGCCTTGCGGCGGAACATGGCGGTGAACTGCTCGGAGATGCGCTTGAACAGCTCCTGGATGGCCGTGCTGTTGCCGATGAAGGTGACGGCCATCTTGAGGCCGCGGGGTGGAATGTCACATACGGCCGTCTTCACGTTGTTGGGGATCCACTCCACGAAGTAGCTGCTGTTCTTGTTCTGCACGCTCAGCATCTGCTCGTCCACCTCCTTCATGGACATGCGGCCGCGGAAAACGGCAGCCACGGTCAGATAGCGGCCGTGGCGTGGGTCGCATGCCGCCATCATGTTCTTGGCGTCGAACACTTGCTGCGTGAGCTCGGGGACAGTGAGGGCGCGGTACTGCTGGCTGCCGCGGCTGGTGAGGGGGGCGAAGCCGGGCATGAAGAAGTGCAGACGGGGGAAAGGCACCATGTTGACGGCTAGCTTGCGCAGGTCGGCGTTGAGCTGGCCCGGGAAGCGCAGGCACGTGGTGACACCGCTCATGGTGGCGGAGACGAGGTGGTTGAGGTCTCCGTAAGTGGGCGTGGTCAGCTTGAGTGTGCGGAAGCAGATGTCGTACAGCGCCTCGTTGTCGATGCAGTAGGTTTCGTCTGTGTTCTCCACCAGCTGGTGGACGGACAGAGTGGCGTTGTAGGGCTCCACCACTGTGTCGGACACCTTAGTACAAAAAAAAAAAATGCATCATGATCCTGTTTGGATGGCATGTTTGAATAGAGACGACGCAACAGGGAAGTCAAGCCATGGAATCGCTTCGGGCCCGAAGTTGAAACAAGCCCAGAGAGATACTGGCACCATGCTAATGACAAAACTGTAACACTACTCCAGACACTGTTACAAGTGGAACCCCGTTGACATTACAATGGCACCCACGGATTCGCATATTCACAGATTTTTTTCCAAGGGTTTGTGTTTTTTTTTTCCATCAGTTTTCAGTCACCCCCCCACACCACCCATTTTACCCCCGTTTTCCAAGGAAACGGTATATTGCATGGCTATCAGCATTTTTCAAATACATTACAGATGCTAAGAGAAGAAGAATTTGAGAAGAGCTTTACAATGACTAGAGAAAATGGACGAATAAAGTGATCTCACCTTGGGGGAAGGCACCACGCTGAAGGTGTTCATGATCCTATCAGGGTATTCCTCTCGGATCTTGCTGATGAGCAGAGTTCCCATCCCTGACCCGGTTCCTCCGCCCAGGGAGTGTGTGAGCTGGAAGCCCTGTAGGCAGTCGCAGCTCTCTGACTCTTTGCGCACCACATCCAGGACCGAGTCCACCAGCTCGGCGCCCTCCGTGTAGTGACCCTTGGCCCAGTTGTTTCCAGCACCGCTTTGACCTACACGACAACACAATTTAGCCATTCTGTTCACGAAAGGCTAGTCGGTCGTGAATGCCTGAATGTCTTGGTGTACCGTTTGTGTTCAAATATCTGATTAAATGGTTATACTGTATATAGGTTACCCAATTTGTGTTAGCATTAGCATTAAGCTAGCAGACTAAAGACCGTTTTACACAATATGTAATTCTCCTAATTTTGTTTACTTTGACAGAACACTGCAACTGGGAGTGGCATCTAACAGCTTGAAACCTCATTTTAAGAGGAATTTTTCAAGTTCGTTCTTGTGAAGCGAGTTGATTAATATCTCAAGTCTGTGCTTGCAAGTTCAAGCAACAACAAAAAAGTGAATAATGACTTGCACTTTGAAAAACGCAACCGGGTCACTAGCACCAGTGTACAAACAGAGATTTCTTTGAGCATTTATTTTGCTCATGATTCTCACTTTTACTTTCTTTCTTCTTTCATGCGGAATTTGTACTGTTTAGTCTTGTTAAAATAGGCTTGTTCCCTTTCGAACTACACTCTGCCACTAAAACATTTCTTGCCACATCTATGTTTCTAGCATCTTTTTGATTTTTAATTCAGTGTTCATTCCGATAAATAAAACTTAAAACCAGTAACATTTAATGTCAAAGTAACACTCCTTACCAAATAAGTCATGCTACCAATGTAGCAGTGGTGGGTTATGTCTACTTGTTGACAGTGCTAATGCTAGCTTAGTATTGCTATTTTGTTCAAGTTAGATGTGTCTTCTCTGCCGATTTGAGAAGTGCAGTCATGCACATTAGTGTGTGTGTGGGGGGGGGGCATGGTTTTGACTCACAAACTGAAGGGGGGGGGGGTCCGAGGGGTGTTAGTGAAGGGACACTACATTAATTGCAAATCTTGCTCGCAGTTTTACCACTGCCAATTCCCCCTTTCGTTATGGAGTGTGAGTACTGTTGAAAACAGGGTTTATCAACACACCCACCAAAGACAAAATTGTCAGGTCTGAAGATCTGTCCGAAAGGTCCGGACCTTACGGAGTCCATGGTGCCGGGTTCCAAGTCCACCAGGATGGCACGGGGGACATATTTCCCTCCTTACAGCAGGAAGACAAGAAGGAGGCCCACATAAGGATACAGTCCAAAAGAGCACAGTAATGGAAAACAAAACAGTGAAAAAAAATAACAAGACAAACACAAAAGGATGCTGAAGTCCCTCCCCTCTTCTCCCATGCTGTGAATCCACCCTCTGTCCTCAATCTTTCCATGTCCAACTCTCCCAGAAGCAAATCTGCTGCTAAGCTAACCTAGATTTACTTAGACAATGCCGGGCTTATCTGCAAGTTAAAAAATCTTATCTGCAAGTTAAAAAATAAGTCAATAAATAAATTGAAATCAAGCCATTGTTTGAATTATCTACAATGTATACACATTCACAAAATATTTCTTTTATACTTTAAATCAGGGATCATTAACCTTTTGGCTACTTTATGCTTGATCCTTTTTTTTTGTAACATGACAGTGGGTTGGAAGAGACATTTCTGCTGGTTTTGTTATTTCTTAAAATATTATAATATAATTTATATTTATTTACATTTCTTTAAAAAAAAAAAAATCTTGTTTAATGGTCGAATTTTGAACCAAAATATCCAGAAAAATGTACCTCAAATGTTACGCCTTAACTGCTTTCTTTCACTCCTTATGCATTTTATTTATTTTTCCTTTACATTTGTTAAACATCTTTCACATTGTGCAACCTAGGGAACAGTTTCATTCATTTCTCTGCACATATTGTAGTAAGAATGACTTCAAGAGAATGTCGTGTAACCTGTGGCCTCATTGTAATAGACGCTGATCCTGTCCAGCTGGAGGTCGCTGTCTCCGTGGTAGGTCCCCGTTGGGTCGATGCCATGCTCATCGCTGATCACTTCCCAGAACTGCGCGCACGCGCACGCACACACGCACACAAACACACACACACCCACACACAGCATCACATGAATGTTCAACAAGCAGTGGTGTTCAAGTCGTAGGGGGAAGGGAGAGGGGGAGTCTGAATGAGAAAAACAGGAGTGTGCACGTTTGCAGGGTTGGCTTTGCAGTGCGGGATGATCCCTCCTTTGACTGAGCCATTGAACATGATGCAGCTGCGATGACTTCCCTTGGAGTCACAGACTGATGACTGGGCACTTCTTTGACATTTAAACATGCAAAGAACAAGGCACAAAGACGCCACTCATCTGCTTCGAACTAAAAATAAACGTCACACTGAAAAAGCTGAGTGTATTAAGATCACCCCCCTCCCTCTTTTTTCCCTTTAAAAGACCACACTTGTGAGATTTAAACCCCTCTAAGCCAGTGGAACCGTTGATGCAAGCAAGTAGCTATTTGCAAGAAGAGATCTTCCAACTTTTCTTCCATGTGTCATGCAGCCTCATTTTTTTTTTTTTTTGCAGCAGACGCAGGGTTTAGAGCAATCTGGATAAACGGGTCACAGTACTTAAAAGATTGGGAGATCTGTGGACTATTATTTAAAACAAAAAAAAAGTGACCTTAATATGAGGACTGACAGCGATCATCAAAACATTGACGGTGAAAGAATGAGGACAATAAGCATCAAAGAGTGATGATGCCACACCCTGACCCACTTGAGCCACGATGACGCCCGCTCAGCCATTGTGTCAATCAAAGCCGGACTGGGCACCCGAGTGGGTCCGCAGGGACAGCAAATGCTACAAAAGAGCCAAATCTGACAGGAGAATAATGTCAAATGTAGCCGTATAATTGATGCTATTCTTTCATAGGCTGGCCATGAGCAGATTAGCAGGGAGAAAATTCAATTTGTGGGTTCACCCGGGATGCAATGAGCGTCAGCTGTTTCCTTCATTCCTTCCCCCACCCTCGCCTTCATTTGGTTTCAGGGAGGAACAATCCACATCGATCACAAAGACAAAAGACAAGACACACATCGGAACAAATAATTAAATCTTTTTTTTTTTTTTACATCGATTGAAACACACCCTGTACCATATTGTACAATGTATTTTGATTTTTATGAAATTTTGTATTTGTTATTAATGGAGGGGGAAAAAAACTAATGCATGCATTGTTCTCAAATGAAATACTGTGTATATTTTTTATTCTACAGTGCATTACAGTAATTATAGGGCATCTTATATTGTTTTTTGGATTTGTTTTTTAAATTGTTAATTTTCAGTTGTCTTTATTCATATGGACCCACAATTGACTCAAAAAATATATACAGTACACATCTTAGTATTTTTTTAACTCAACAGAGCATCTTGTACTTGTTTTCATTCATTATTTTTTAAATTTTAAATTTAAAAGGCTTTAAAGACTTAACGTTTTTTTTTTAATTTATATTAGACTATTTTATTATTATTTAATTAAAGAGGGCATCATGTACCATTTAGATTTTTATTATGAAACATTGTGCATTTGCTATCCTTTTAAAAATATTTAATTTGACCTACAATTAATTCATTTTTAATTTTTAAATAGGCCTCAAACTATAATCAAAGCCACATCAAAAATGTTGATTCAAATTATGTACCATATTTATTTGATTTCAGTTGTAATTTGTCTATGTTGTCAGAGTATTTTATTGAGATTTGAATTAATCTCCTTTCTATTTAAAACCAAATCGAGACTTATAAAAGCACGGTTTATGGAAATATATTGAAAATAGCACCAAAATGATGTTGCTAAGAAAAAAAAGTGCAATCATGTGGCAAGTGGGTTGTTGTTTTAAGCGTTTGTAGCCTTGTTTGCCAAGCAGATGTGTGGCCCTCAAGCACAATGATGTCATATGCTCAATTATAAGATAAGTGCCAATGAAAGCAAAATAAAATGAAAATGCTTTTTTTAATCATTAGATCAATAGATAACACCCCTCAAAAACATTGTGAGTTTGTGAGTCATTTTAAAATATTTTTTTCATGCTTTGTCTGTCAATTATCTATGCCACACCCAGCAGCTGATAGTCTGAACCATCTGCGCCAGCCCTCAGAAATAAAAATCTAATCGATGGCAATTATTGATTAGTCCTAGAAATTGGGAAAGGCAGGAAAAAAAACAACATTAACACCTTTGTGCGGGATATTTAAACGCACGGCTGGACAAAGAGAGGAATCGACGTTGAATGGACTTTACACTTCTTCAGTATTTCTCTCATTTCCACACAGGCAGGCAGGCAGGCAGACAAAGAGCAGACACGCCCGAATAGTGACCCCGAGGAGACAAATGTACCGTTATTCCGGCGTTCCACACCCACCCTCCATGACACCGCACTGCACAATGGTATTATTAAAACAAAAGACTGCGTGCCACTGCGTGCCACTGCCAGCCAGCCACTCTTCTTCTTGCATGCAAATGAGAATTTCATTTTCATTCCTTTTGTTGGGTGAGCCTTTTGTCCACCAACTAGGAAACACTGCCTGCCTAGCCCACCTGCATAAATTAAGACCGTTTTCCCACACTCAAGTCGAAACTTGATCGAATATCTGTTTTGTTGAAGGTTTTTTTTCCCTCTCTCCTCATTGTTTCCTACCTTGGCACCGATCTGGTTGCCGCACTGGCCGGCCTGGATGTGCACGATCTCCCTCATAGTGGCTGCCAAAAAGTCGGGGACAAAAAAAGGGGAGAGTTCGTTGAACGAGCAGAGATGAGACGAGGAGAGACGAGGCGAGGCGGCTGGACAATGGCTTTATAATGCTGGAGGACCTCCAGGGAAAGGCAGGCTGGGAGTAGGGGGCGTGGCTTGTGGGAAGCCAGGCCTGCTTGACGTGCAGGATTGGCTGGGTTTGTTGCGGAGCTGGCTGGGGCCCTGTTGCAGGAGCGTCGTCGCTGCTGCTGCTGCTGCTGCAGAGTTGGGAGTGGCAAGGAGATAAAGCAGGCAGACAGAACGCAGCTGTTTTTCAGACACAGATTTGTTTTCAGGTTGAAAAATCATCTATGTATTTTATATTAATTAACCTCTTAATACCACCCCTTGTCCACGTTGTAGTCATACAAACCATCAATATCATTCCCAAATTTGAGGGGGAAAAAAAGCACCGAACTGTGTGTGCATCATAATCTGAGGCAATCAGAATCAATATGTAACCCCTAACCCTAATAACTTGGCAAACACACCAAAAGATTCAAATAAAATAAATCATATTCACCAGAGATGCTGATTAATAAATATATAAATGTGCATAATTTGCTACAGATGTGCTTGCAGTCGAACATTGCGTTGACAAACCAATCAGAGGGCGGGAAAACTGCTGATGTCCTTGAGGGCCAGAGAATGAATTTGAAACCAGATTGGCTCAAAAAAACAGCCCCATTGCCAAAATAGTTTAAATTGGACAGAATAATTTATTTCGCCACTGCAGAGTGAAACATTTTGAGACGGTTGAGAAATTGTGAATTCAAAATAAATTTTCTCAATGAATTTGAGATTTTTTTTTTTTTTTGGTAAATGTAAAATGTCGATTTTTTTTTTAATAGTATATTATGTTGGGGGGGGTTCAGCATATTGTTACGTCGAGGAGCATAATTGCGTAATTAATTTTTAATTCACTGTTACAATATTGATAAAAAAAATTTATTCACGTAGATTTTCTGTCATTTTCTTGTTTTCCGAAATTGTAAAAAAATGATTTATGGAAATATGCTATTAAGCTAACGATACCGATGTTAGAACAGTGTTGTTTTTTTTCCTCCCATAAATTGGACGGGATTTTGTGCAGGAAATGTGGGCCACTGGATAAGTGAGCATTTGTGGAATTTCAATAATTGTCGACCAGATATTTTAAATGTTGATTTATGTAATAATATGAATTTTGGAAGCTATAAAGTCGAAGAAAAGTTCAATTTCGTCATGACTTTCACGTCACAATGTTGGCATTTAACGTGTAGGTTCACGCTTGGCCACTAGATGGTAATAGAGTGAATGAAATGGGCGTGGCCATGTTGCACTTCCGGTCGAGCAGACATTTTTGTCGTTCCGATTGACGGTAAACAGCACCTCTCCCACTCGAGCCGCCCCAACGCGAAGAAAGCTCCTTTTAATCGTTCCCCGACGAATAACGGTAAGGCAAACCTCCGCCCCAACGATTTATTCATACGTTTTTCTTTTCAACGTCGTCGCAGCGTTACCCGTTAAACTCCTCGGAATGTGGAGGCGGGGGCTAAAGGGGTGGAGCATATCATGCGGGATTTCACCACCAAACACTGTCATTTGGCCGTCTTTATTTGTGTAAAACTTGTCGATAAATGTCTTGAATTTAAATATTGACAGGATGTATCGAGCTTCGTGTCGTTTTCTTGGTTAATTTCTCGGTCGTGGGGGCGGGGTCGTGTCGGTACTGCGCATTGTTGTAATCAAATTTATTGGGCACCGAACGTTCTCCATATAAAACCCGTTAATCCCCACCAATATTTAGTGAAATTGTTTACAAACACCCGAGAAAAGAAATCGTTGTGTTTTTATTTCTGACAAGGTTTTCCGTTTGTGTTTTTAAGTCAAAGCAGCCAAAATGTTTTACACGTGTGGACCCAATGAAGCCATGGTGGTCTCAGGTAAACTGTGTGATTACTATATTTACATTTTTTAATCTTGTATATAAAATGTTTTTTTTTTCTAACTTCTACCAGATTCTCTTGTTTTTATTCTGTCTTTGCAAACGGGATGTGAATCCATAATTTGATAATTGTTTTGTTCAGTTTCGCAGTGGGCTGTCGTTTTTGTTGCGTGAAAGGAGAAACGGCTTTATTTACCACCATTTACGTCAACTGTGTCATGTGACTGATTTGAGCGATCACGTGTGCCGATGACGTTGCATAACGATTAAGGGCACAGATTCGATTACCAAATTATCCAAAAACAAGATAAAAACAATAATTGGATCAGAAAAAAAACAGATGACCCAATTGACAGAATCCCAGTTGTGGCATTGAGATAATACATGATTGACATTTGTATCGATATTAGATTGTTTACTATCATGCACGTGGAAGCTTATTACAGCATAAACCTATGTTTAGCTTTTTATCAAGTTTAGCAGGGGAATCCTGTGTAAAGACATTATGGATTAACAGAGGTATTTTTTTGTGTATGTGTGTGTGAAAGGTTGCAATTTGAATGCAGCCAGTTCCACATTTGTGAAAGTCATTGTTTGTGTTGTGCGTCCTCCGCTTTCCGTGCAGGCTTTGGCCGCTCTCCTCCTCTGATGATCGCCGGAGGACGAGTGTTTGTCTTCCCATGTATTCAGCAAATCCAGAGGTGATCACACTGGTTTTCTTTCTTTCTTTTTTTTTTTTTTGAGGTTGGGCTGCCCTCGAAATGTTGGTCTTGAAACATCCAGCTTGTTGGTAGGAGACGAGTGTAAAATGCCGTTCTTGGTCTTGCTGGTCATTACGGGCCCGGGGGAGTGGTTGCTAATTGATTTACTTGTCCCTGGCTCTGCCTCTCAGATCCTCTTGTATAATAACTCAACCTTGTTATTACATTTGTGTTTTTTGTTGGCATATACTTACGGTGCAACCCCTCACAGTCAATTTGTTTGAAAATATTTTTTAGCTATTGGCCTATTAAAATAATGGAAACTGGGAAAAAAATGTTCCAGAGTCAAACGGTTTGCATCCTAAAATCTTGATTAACTTTACAAGCAATTGTGTTTCATCTGTTCATCCAACATAACCCATTGCGGCTCTGCTTCCCTTTTGAGCTTGAACATTGTAGCGTTTTAGAGCTTGACTTCAACTTCCGCGGTAGTCTGTAAGATCCGGTTCTTGATTTGCCCCCTTTTCCGTTTTAGGATCACGCTGAACACGCTGACGCTAAATGTGAAGAGCGACAAAGTGTACACCCGCCACGGTGTGCCCATCTCTGTCACGGGCATCGCTCAGGTAACGTTTGAGAGGCTGGACAAGGAGAAATGTCACATTTTAAATGAGATCATGTACAATGAAAGGGTTTTTAAACCTACCTTGATTTGGGGGTGCTCAGTGTCAACTGCTACAGACTGACAAATTAAATGTTATCCAAAAAAAAAAAAATTCTACACTGGGAAAACCCACTCTGTCTGACCAATCACAGCCAAGAGGAGGCGTGTCTTTTCAATGTCAACAATGTCAGCGCTTATCTGAACTCTATCTCATGCCGTCGCAGTTTCAAACACAGACTGACCACCAAGTTAGCAACTCATGGTCCAATGACATCTATTACTCGAGAAAATGACAATGACGTAACAGTTCGACGGTACGTTTAGAGTTGTGAGGCTGTAGAACTGCATTGCATCATCCTGAAACTGATTTTTGTATAAAGTAGTCGAAACAACTCTCAAAATGTTACAGTGCCTTTCTGGACAAGTGTCAAAACATTATAATGATCTTCTTGTGGTATGTTGTATTTGCAAAATATGATTAATACCCTGGAGTTTGCTCTTTCAGGGGCATAGTTGACATGAGCAACATGCAAACAGTTGGAAAGTTCCTTAAACCTGATGGGAAGTTTTTTTTTGGAGGTTTCTCACTTCCTCCCTGATTGTCCTCACTGATGATGACATTTTGATCACAATGCTCTGCCGCATATGTCTCGTTGTTTTTGTACTCAAGCCCAAACCTTGTCTAATAAAAGTAGTGCTTTAGTGCCATCTTGTAATAACATTGACGCGTCTTTCCCCGTGCGGTCATACCTTTTTACCTCGCAGGTGAAGATCCAGGGCCAAAACAAGGAGATGCTAGCTACCGCCTGCCAGATGTTCATGGGCAAGTCGGAGCCCGAGATCGCCCAGATTGCCCTGGAGACGCTGGAGGGCCATCAGAGGGCCATCATCGCTCACCTCACCGTGGAGGTAATGCTATGATTTCGGATCATTGGCACCTCGGCCAACCACCCGCTAGGACGAGTGACTAAAATGCGTTTCTCACCTGCCGCAGGAGATCTACCAGGACCGCAAGAAGTTTTCGGAGCAGGTCTTCAAGGTGGCTTCCTCAGACCTGGTCAACATGGGGATTGGAGTGGTCAGCTACACCCTCAAAGATGTCCACGATGATCAGGCAGGCACTTCAGAGAAACACAGCCCGGCAGTCAAATTCGGCACCGCCGCATTAAAAAAAATCACAGATGTCAAACGCGAGTCCGCAAGGGCCACTACCCCGAATGATTCCCCTCCTCCAGCACACCCGATTCTAACACTCGGGATCGTTACCATGCTACTGCAGAGCTTGCTGATGAGCAGATCATTTGGATCAGGCGTGATGGAGGAGGGAAACATTGAAAACATGCAGGATAGTGGCCCTCGATGACCACGGTTTGACATCTGTGCACTAAATGGCGTCAGCAAACATCACACCGAGCGGCACATCGTGAACATTTCCTCAGCCGAAGGGGCTAACAGGTTGCTTCCTGCTGTTGATTGCTGCTCGCAGTGGACGTTTTTACATCAATGCAAAGAATTCCACATGTAGTGAATAGGAACAATTTAGGATGGTCCGTTAGCGTAACGCCGGCACTCAATGCAAAACGCCACAAATGCATTAGGTTTGTGGAGCTATCATCAATGCTGTCATTGTTATAAGCAACGGATGTTTGAACACAAACGGTGCCGCATCACATGTAGATAGACAAAAAAAAAAATTAAACACTCGGGTATATATTCCTAATCCTCTTCAAAAATCATGAATATGACTGCAGCTTCCTAAGTCACTTATTTGTGCAATTTGTCTTCATGTTTGTACTAGACTGGACCCTGGTGGCCAATGCATCCACACTAGCAGCAGCCCGGTTACTGTGTGTACTGTAATTTCCAGACTACAAACCACACGTGATTAAAAGCCGCAACAGCTAAATTTAGCCAAAAAAAAAATTTGTACATCCATGAGCCACTTTGGACCAATGACTGCCGGTCTCCATGTTTTTAAATGGGATATTATCAAACCATCGGTAGACGCTCTCTGTAAAACAACAATGCCGAATGCAGCTGCAGCTACACAGAAAAAAGTTTCACGACACACCGCCAACTTGGCTATCGGTTCACATTCAAACATGGGATGATACTCCGACGACAGAAAATGGATGATATTTCATCACAGGAAAGTGCCTGGCGCCTCGGCACCAATCCAGTCAGGGGATATATTAATAAACACACAGCAAGCAGTTGGTGACGTAATCATCCCCGACTGCGGACGTACAACTTTTTAACAGTCCGTCTGCAAGGATATTTAGTCGCTGTGGACTCTACGTGCATCTTTCTCATCTTTTCATGAAGCTTTTAGTAGCCGTGGCCACTAATACACTTAAGTGGCCCGTATTGACTCCCTCAACCGCTCTGTACATTAGCGGCAAATTAGTGCTGAGTGCTACCATGGCAACCATGCGCCGTCAGACAGATGGATGATTTTAGGGTACCCTGTAATGTCGACTTAAGACAGCCAAAATATTATGACTAGCTGGCAATAATGTCTACAGCGCAGTTGTATACTAAAAAAATAATTATATTGTTCAGTCAATACATCTTAAGGTGGAATAATCACATCCGGCTGTCTCTTGTGTTTGGTTTAGGACTACCTCCACTCATTGGGCAAGGCCAGGACAGCCCAGGTGCAGAAGGATGCCCGGATCGGAGAGGCTCAGTACAAGCGGGACGCCGTCATCAAGGTGAGAGAGTCGTCTTCCAAACGAGCAAACCTTCCATGCTCGACGTCTTCTTCTCGTCCGCGTAGGAGGCCCAGGCCATGCAGGAGAAGGTGTCTGCTCAATACAAGAACGAGATCGACATGGCCAAATCCCAGCGGGACTACGAGCTGAAAAAGTCCGCCTATGACGTGGAGGTCAACACTAAAAAGGCGGAGTCGGAAATGGCCTATCAGCTTCAGGTACGTAACTCCCTGCTCGTTCCGCCAAGCCTCCCGACGGCACTGCGGGAGCTCATCTCCGAGCGCCGCCCTCTCATCCTGGCAGGTGGCCAAGACCAAGCAGCGCATTGAGGAGGAGAAGATGCAAGTGCAGGTGGTGGAGCGCAGCCAGCAGATCACGCTGCAAGAGCAGGAGATCACGCGCAAGGAGAAGGAGCTGGAGGCCAAGGTCAAGAAGCCGGCCGAGGCCGAGAAGTATCGTCTGGAAAGGCTGGCCGAGGCCCAGCGGTAAAAGCACCCGACAGTCAATCTCGGCAGGCATCCGACGACTCCCAAACTAGGATTTGCTTTGAGTCGTCAAAGTAACGTTTGTTTTTCTTCTGCCGACAGCCTGCAGCTCATCATGGAGGCTGAGGCCGAGGCCGAGTCCATTAGAGTGAGGCTTTTTTTTTTTGGGGGTGGGGAATTACTAACGGAGAGAAATGCAACGCTCATCATGGAGGCTGAGGCCGAGGCCGAGTCCATCAGAGTGAGTATTTTTTTGGGGGATGGGGAATTATAACGGAGAGAAATGCAATTTTGACTAGCCTGACAACAATCCGCTTTCTCTTCTATGTGTGTGTGTGTAGATGAAGGGCGAGGCGGAGGCCATCGCCCTGGAGGCCAAAGGCCGCGCCGAGGCTGAGCAGATGTCGAAGAAGGCCGAAGCCTTCAAGCAGTACGGAGAAGGAGCCATGGTGGACATGCTGCTGGAGAAGCTCCCTCTGGTCAGTTCCTCTTTTGCAGCAACACTTAATGCGCGTGTCACGGGCGAACGAAAGGCGCCGGGCCCCGTACGGCCTTGAGCAGAGGCGGATCTGCGCGCCGGATCTCACTCCGTTATAGCAGAATGAGTTACCAACCGTGCAGTGCCAGAGTTTCGTTCATTTAGTCTTGAAGCAGCTGGCAACATTGGAATGTAGCCCTACTGCATCCGACCCCCCCAAAGGAACACCCCCAGGTTACCGATGCGCGCTCCCGGGCAGCACGCCACGATCATGATGAGCAGAAGCAAAAGCGAAACGTTACCTGTTTGATGATGGTGACGAGGTGATCAGCTTACTTGATGACCCAATGGGAACGTTCACGTTGGCGCCGGTGGTTGTCACACCTCGATAAGCCTTGATGTCAAGCAGAGAGCTTTCAGATTCCTACTTTTTAACTTTTGTGGCTAACCAGAGTTAAAAAAACTGCTGCCTGGGGGAGAAAAAAAATATTAAAAAATGGACATGGGCCATTATTGTAGGAAGGTGAGCAAATCACTTTTTTCCCCTCTTCACTGCAAACTCTACCTTGAAAAGCAGACCCGCTACACGTGTCTTGACTTGTTCTCTTTCTCCGCGCGGTGCCGCAGATGGCCGAGGACGGCGCCGCCAAGCTGGCCGGCGAGGTCCTGGAGATCATGACCCGCGTGCCCTCGGCTGTGGAGAAGCTCACCGGAGTGGACATCTCCCAGGTACGCTTCATGAGTTGATCCCCCGCTGGCTCACTTCAGACACACCCCCGTTACCATCCTGCCGTTGGATTTGATGCGTGACGCCATTCGTCCCGTGGACAGGTTACGGGCCAGTCCCTCCGTGTGCATTAAGATGACATCACGCCCCCTTCCTGCTTCCTCCCCGGTGCCTTGTTGACCAGTCCTGCGACGCCATCTCCCTTCGTGCATGTGGGCCTCATCCAACCGCGTGTGTCCGTCGTCTCCTCTTCATATCTCTGACAGGTGCTTTTTTGGCCACCGGCGAAGATCCGTTCAGCTGCCGCGGTGGCGCCAGAAAGCCTTTTCGATGTGTTTAAAAGAGTCAATCATATGTTTGTCTATTGGATGAGGCAGCCTCGCTTCATGTCCGCTCTGTTGGTCTGTGAAATCAAGTTAGCGTTTTGCACTGCGCCGCGTCGTTATGCCCAGCTGAGCTCCAAATGCGTCCCAAAGAGTGGCTGGGACTCACTGAAAAGAACAAGTGGTCACTTTGAGAGAAAAAAAAAAAAATGAAATGAATCGTCCTTGTCATTTCAAGGCGTAAAATGTCATCCTTGCGAGAGTTCAACAAATCATGACGCGATTAAAAGGAAACAAAGTGAATTTTGCAAAATATAACGTAACGTTAAGAGAATAATTTTAGCATGTAAAAGTCTGAAAAGTTGGGGAATTTTTTTTAACTGAGCAGAACGTGATGTGGATCGTTTCAGAATACACACACACAGAAGAGAAAGCTGTTGTGGTTACATTACGGCAATATCGCCAGTTCGGCCAAGGACAAAAGTCAAATCAACATTTCATCGAAAGAAATGACAATCATATTGCAGAAGTAAAGTCATTTCAGAGTCTCGGACAATATTGGGTTTGAGTGGGAATTTTCAGTTGGTTGTGTGGGGACTTGGTCACATGATAAAAGTAATACTGTACATGTAGATTTTTCTTCCTCACATAAACTTAAATTAATGCTCAGCAAAGTAGGATTTTTTTCCCCCTTCTTAAACACGTTACACCTTTTATTCTTTGAAAATCTGAACTCTTAGAAAAGTGGAAAATGACTACCAGTAATTTATTCTTCCAGTTCGAATGCCCCCCCACCCCACCCTCCATTCAAACTGGACTCATTTATTCCTTGATTGTCTTTTACCTTTTAGTATGTATAAATTAACGTGTATTCTTGGAAAATTGGGAGATTTTAATGTTTTAAAAAATTTTGAGGGTCTTGTAAAAAGTCCCCAAGAATATGCGTGAAATTGCTCATTTATCCACACAAAGATTCCCCCCCCCTTTCTTTTCAGTGTGGCCCGGCTTCTCTTTAACATGGCGACTGCCGCAACTAAAGGATTTAATTTGGAGGTTCCATTTGAAAGAAAGCGGTTGTTGGGAGCGAGACGCTGAGTGTCACCTACTGAAAGCGAAAGAAAGTGTTTTGGAATGTTCATACACGTCAGTGATACTAACTCGGCCGCGCTGCTGCTTTTTTGACTAATCGTCCACGTTTAGAAGGATGCTGTAGGACTGACTTTGAAGTTTTTGTAGTACCATTTGTTTGTTTTTAAGCTTTTGAACACTATACTAATCACCCAAAGCTGGACGCGTGTTGTCACCGTTAAGTGCCTGCCTGCTTCAACATGGTTCAACTCCTCCCGGTCAAACCTCAGCGCTCGTGCGCTCAGCCTGTTACGCGTCAGGGATGAAAAAATAAATAAAATGAAAATCACCTTATCTCGGAATAGGAGTGGAAAATTTACGGTAAATTTCCATGGGAAGTTAAGATACTGAAATTTTGCAAGTCAGCATAACTCAAAACTGTTTGCTTGATTCTCGGGAATTCCCATGGAAAGTTTCCAACTGATACAAGCCATAATGCTGCCACTACAGATGCCTCTTTTATTTTCAGCGGAACCCTTATTATTAAACATCTTCTTGACCAATGGTCAATTTTTTTTGTTCAAGAAAAACAAAGCATGTGTAGCCTTTATGTTAGTCTTAAGTGTTGAGCATTTATCTGTATTAAAGTGACAAATAAAGTTTCAATTTAATTACTGGAGCCTTTGGTTTTTTTTTTTTGAAAAGTGGTTAACTTTATTGAAACATCTACAAAAATAAACAGCACAAATGGATGACAACGGCATCAAGGTAGCAAGCGTTTCTACAGAAATACAGAAGGCTCCAAAAGGAGAGAGTTTTCTGTATTAGTACAGGAAAAATACAAGATTTGTATTGAAAATATGTACAAACTAAACAAAGCACGTACTATAAAAATACAGGTTTAGTTGAACTACAGTGTATCAAAAGAGACTCCAACGGCACCGCGGCCGTTTGCAATCGGTAAACAACCATACCCCACCCCCAACACACACACACACACACACTAGAAAGCATTTATCCGATATCTCTGCATTCTACTAGTGGAGCGCTAGAAGTCAAACGGTGTCCATTTTTGCCTGACGAGTAAAACTGGAGTTGTCCTACTCGTCTGCGGAACTCTCATACAGTAGCTGAAGGCAGTACAGTGGTGCCTTGAGATACGAGCCGTCATTCGGACATTTGGGGGGGCTTTCAGTTGCAAGCGCCAACTCAAGTTACTTCACAATAAGCGACAGTTTGACAAAAACGGAACCATCCTTCCTTCAAACGAACGGTTTTAACGCCCGTCCCGGTTGAAGTATACTGTCAAACTAAACAAACAAAGTGAATTACACTTTGTGTATTTCAAACAGACTAGTATTGCTTTTGCAAAGCCCAATTAGCTTAATGTTAAAGATTGAAGCGAAACGTCATCAACATGCTAATATTAGCAACGTCACTGACATGCTAATATTAGCATGTCAGTCACCATAGTCGCAGTTTTTAAGTGATATTTGGACAACGTCATATTTTTTATGCTAAAAAAAAGGACTAATATGATAGTCATGTTACTGCATCACTAATAGGAGTGAAAGAAGAAGTACTTTGCGTCTGCATGATTGCATACCCCGAGTCACGTGGTCCACTGGAGAAAGTTTGGGATAAGGTTCACCAGCTTGAAAAAAAAAATAATAAATACGTTTCATGGCGAGTTGGAGGCCATTCAAGGCAGGGCGCGCCCTGGAATTGAACCCAAGGCAGCTATGTGAACCACTACACTGTCCAATGTACACCACGGGTCCTGTTGAGTGCGGTAGGAGAATGAGGAGTCTTCCCATTTGAGCCTGGATCCTATGCCATTGGCCAATATATGAATCGCTACACTGACAAATGTTGCAGGGGGAGCCGGCTCCCATTCCCAGTTGACGTCGGACACCAGGCGGGCTGTCCCTCTGGACTCGACTACCATCAACCAAGAATTGAGGCTTGGCCGACATAATGAAAGGCAGCTATGTGAATCACTATACTGGTTATTTAACACAGTATTTTGCTTCTGCTGTTCAGAGTTGTTTGAGGGAGCTGATTTGAGGATGAGTGAACCACTACACTACAACAGCCATTTGTTTTCTATCCCGCTTGTCCACTTCACTGTTGCAGGACGTGTTGGTACAGCACTGAGTGATAGACCAAGAACTGAATCCAAAGCAGCTACGCGAACCACAACAGGAAGGAAAGATGGTTCAGTGTGCCGGAGCTCATCCTTTTATCGTCTCCCATCTACAGATGAGTGATGCGATAGCAGGTAGAAGTATTTTGGGGAAGTGAGGCAGGGCTTTTCAATCTCATTTCATGGAGATGTTTACTCAAGATAACAGCACGTTTTTGTAGCGCGTAATAAATGAACCGTCTGTGTGGGTGATTTATTACTATTTACTGTCATACGGGATACAGTCTATTTCTAATACCCAACCTGGTTAGCTTTGCATCTCTGTGAACCACGACATCCATGCACCTTCTTTCTACACAGCTTTTCTTGTATGGGGTTGCAAAGTGGCAAGATGAATAAAGTCAACTATGTGAACCACTACTCAGACAGTTCAGAGGAGCCGAAGCCGTGAAATCTTCAGATGCTGGTGAAGCTGCATCAACTTCCTCTTACGTCATTTCCTGTCCTTGTAAAAAAAAGAAGAAAAGGCTCCTAATGCAGATTGCACCCGCCACCACTACGCTACACAATGTTAGCTCAGCCTCATAGCTACACCGATCAAGCTTCAGTTACTGTGGCTTAAGGGGGTGCGGGGAAAAAAACTGAACCAGCAGCGTCTCCAGCAGCCCCGTCCACCCAAAAAGTACAAAAGATTGTAGTAGGGGAAAAAAAAATAAAAATCCGTAACGACCAAGGCGGGCCGGGCCGTTGAAGCGCTGCGCGGCCTTACACCATGTTCATAGCGTCCTCGGCGAGGAAGGCGTGGATGTGGCCGAAGGACGGCCGCAGCTTGCAGTCTCGGTTCCAGCAGCTCAACATGAGCTCGTAGAGACCTTGAGGGCACACGGCGGGCTTGCCCAGGTACACCTGGCGAGGGAGGGGGAGGAGGAAGCAAGTTAGGGGAGGGGCTTGCGTGGAGGCTACAGAATTGTCCAAATAGCCAGCGCTACCTGTCTGCCCTGGTCTCGGAAGAACTCTCCGGCGTTGTCGATGACTTGCTCGTCCGTCAGGTTGGAGTACGGCTGCTCCTGGCATACGCTCAGCATCTCCCACAGAGTCACGCCAAAGGCCCACACGTCGCTGGCCGTGGTGAATTTACCCTGTCCCGCAATATATATATATATATTTTAAGTCTGTTCATGACCCGCCGCGCATCAAACGCTGTGTGCAAGGTTCGTCAACTGGTTTTTGTGTGTGGCCAAATGTCGGTTGCCGCTTTTACCGCAGTTCAGAATCTGAACCGCAATGTCGCGGAAATCACGGCCCATCATAATTTGCCATGTTGGATCACAAAATTTCCAAATATGAAGCAGGAGGAGTGGGATTCATCATCACGCTTCATTGAGAAGTTTCAAGATTTTCAGAAAATCCAAAGTTCGTTTTAATAATTTTGAAAATCAGACAATGGGTTTTTTTGAAAGTGTGGGGGGAGGGGCGCTTTTGGGGAGAAGTTTTTGTGTGTGACATTTTCTATAGAAAATAACATTTGAATTCGAACAGGACAACGTGATGATTACTCAACAATTCTCCTCAACCATTTTGCTTCTTCTGTTACTCGGGGAAGCCCTTTGCTGACTGGGTGACGAGTTTCCATTAGAAAACATCAACTAATTAGCACTTGTGGACCAAAATTAGGCCTGCTTGATCCATGTTTTTGTCACGATACTACTCTCAGCTCATCAGCAGAGCACTAATATTTGTCGTTCTATACACAAGGATAAAGAATGTGACTGAGTCAGCGCATCATTCAGTCTATTGCTGAAAATGTTCAGGCACCGCAACAGAGATGCTAATTTATGCTAGCATTAAGCTAGCGGGCTAAGGCCACCAGAGGGCGCTCCCAATTCTGGTCATCTCACCATGAGGATGCACTCCCAGGCCATCCAGCGGATGGGCAGCACGGCTCGGCCTTGGATCCTGTAGTAGTCCCCGGCGTACAGGTTCCTGCTCATGCCGAAGTCGGCGATCTTGATGTGGCGCTCTCCGCCGGGGTCCTCGGTGGCGCCGCCGCCACCACCGCCGCCCACCAGGCAGTTGCGCGTGGCCAGGTCGCGGTGCACGAAGTTGAGCGAGGAGAGAAACTTCATTCCCGAGGCGATCTGGCTGGCCATAGAGATGAGGGCCGGGTAGCTGCCGGCAAAAGTTTGCTTGCATTATTCTCGTCATCTCATTTAGGACTTCCGTGTTTTTATGCCACTCTTGTTTGGTGGAATTTGGGGACGTTGTTGACGTGAATGCTTAAAAGACAGTGAGTCAAAGTGTTCAGAATAGAGTGAGTGTAAGACTAAAATAGAATAGCCTTATCTTAATGTAGAATAAAATGCATTGAAAGATGACATTTAACGAATCATCTCAATCTTTTTTTTCAAAATCGGTCACCGTAACTTGAATGCTTGTGTCACCTGATTGTGGGCGTGGTGTGCGAAGGCCCGCTCTTGTCCAGCAGCACTCGGTGGGACAGGTACTGGTTGAGGTCGCCACATTCCATGTACTCAGTGACCATGCAGAGGGGATCGCTGCTCACGCACACGCCCAGCAGACGGATGATGTTGGGGTCCTTCAGGCGGGACAGGATCTTCACCTCCTTCAGGAAGTCGTTCCTAACAAGCAATACAAAACAAACAAAAAAAAACATTCAGGTATACAATTACAGACTGGAGGAGGATGCTCATCTCAGCTTTCAAAAGAAAAGGGAACACTTTTTCGAATCTTTCTTTTGAATGATGTTATTAAAGCCCGGATTATTGACATTTTGTGGAAACATCCTTTGGAGGATACAAAAGGTTGACTGACCTAAAAAGAAACATGATTCACACTAGAAAATGAAATACAATAAGAACACGATTCAATACAATGTAAACAATTCAATATTTTGTGCATTGTGATTAATGCATTGTAATTGTCCTGCTGATCCTTCCGCTGTGCGCGCCTTGGTCACCTGGGGGCAGTATAATGCAAGAGATGGTCACTAAAATAATATAAGTTCTCAACTCAAAAAAAAAAGAATTTGAAATCTGCCTAAACTGAAGGACGCCAACCTGGCATTTTTGGAAGCATCAGGCCGCAGTATCTTGACAGCCACCAGCAGAGGGCGACCTTTCCTCACATTGAAGGGGAACTCCAGGTTGGGAAGGTCCTGAGGGTTTTCAATCTCGCACAGGTGCACCTTTCGCGAGAACAATGGAGACACTGTTAAGCCACCTGTTGCGAGACCGACAGACTCCTCCGAAAAATCCACCCACTCCCTCATCGCTTGTCAGCGCTCCGCTGGCACATTCGCAGCGAAGTTCAAAGTGAGGGCAGAAGTTACTCAGCAAGGCAAAGGTCAGATACATGGAAGACTTTTACTTGAGTAATCTTCTCCACGGTGACTAACTTGTACTTCAGCAAATATTACAAGCATTTTTTTCCCAGCAAATTTCTTGCATTGGCTTGAACGATAGTTGTAATTGTCAATATATATACCCGGTACACATCCTCCTTTTTTTAAAGCATTATGAGATTTAAAAAAAAAAAAGGTCATTTTATTAATACGAAATAAATAGATATAAATATTAATCAGACTTTTATTCAGCCAAATATGGGAATTGGCATCTCCCCCCCCCCCCCCAAAAAAAAAAAAACTTGTCCGGGCCCTAAGCCTTATACTACGTTCACGTTGGCAGAGGCTTACCTCTCCAAACTGTCCTTCCCCAAGCTTCTCCTTGAAGACAAGACACTGGCGCTGCAGCTCGGGCAAGGGGCCGGCGTCGGCGCCCGGGCTGGACGAGGCCAGGGCGGGCACAGCGTACATGTTGTTGCCGCTGACACCCTGCAGGCTCACAATGTCGGCCTCGGCGTAGTGCGGCACGCTGGGAGGCAGCGGGGGAGACACGGGCGGCGACAGGGCCGGGTACGGCGGCGAGCCCGGGTAGGGCGGAGGCTCATCCTGCGCTGGGGGGAATCCCTTCTCCGGGGCCGGCTCCAAGCCGCACGCTGGGGAAGAGGCGGACGTTGAGGGTGAAATGTGAAGGAACCGAGCGGATAGGACATGTCAGCTGTTCTGCCAAGGAGGCGCGCAAGATGGTGACACATGTTTGAGAAAAGAGGACAAACATGTGTGGCGACAGGAGAAGTCTGGAATGCGAAACCAATCACCAAGATGAAAAACACTTCAGGATATGGAAAGAGAGTGACACTCGGCAAAATGTTTGTCCGTATGTGCCCCCGGCGAGCGGTCTGTCGTGGAGTGTGCCCCACCTTTTGCTGGGACGGGCCCCGGGTCACCTGCGACCCCGGTAAACAAACACAGCAGGCCTCAGTTGGCGTGTCCTTTTACCCCACAGTGACAGCTCGTGCCGCTAGATGGTAGTGTGTAACTTTACTTGGAGTGAAAATGCAAAATGTAAAAAACGTGACCGCTAATCGATTATCCATTTTCATTTGAGGAAGAAATTATGCAAAAAATAAATAAATAAAATAATAATAATACTAACAACATATTGAGGTAACATTTAAAAAAATATATATATCACAGTAATCCCTCAAGGGAAATTCAGTTGACACACCAGTTAATATTTATGTGGCGCAGCACATATTTATATATTTTAAGGACATTTAAAAAAAAAAAAAACTAAAATCACACAGAAATAAAAACAAATAGAATGAAAAATCCCAAACTCTCATAACCCTGCTCCGTACATCCATGTTGGTATTATACTGCCCCAAGGTGGCCAAGATGCCCACAAGAGAAAGAGCAGCACCAATGTCCATTGAATGGAAGCAAAAAAAAAAGCAAAAACTATTTTATTCTATTTAATAATGCCATTACGATACGGTTCCATAAAGTACAATATCATCGTGTTATTTTTCTTGATAAGGATTGTTTTTTTTCCCCAGCTCCGCTCAAACTACAAAGTAATAAAAAGGCACAAAAACCTGCTGCCGGCAATAAAAATCCTTCCAGACGAGCGTGAGCCTGGATTAACGGGATAGTGAGAGTTTCCCGAGAAAAAGGTTCCCAAAGGCATCTGACTCAGAATGTCAGACCTTGTCTTATTCGCAAATGAATGAATGAATGAATGAATGAATGAATAACCCACCACACAAGGCAAGAGTTAAAAAGGGAGTGAAGTCAGTCTCATGCATGACTAGAAGAAGAGCTACTACTGACTACACTATACTACTACACCCGACCCTGACAGGGCGACGGCGACCAAAGTAAGAGGAGACCTGATAGGGTTGTGGGGCACGGAGTGGGCGGGGGGGGGGGGGGTCACTTTTTGGGCTGCGGTCGGCCCAATCCGAGGTGTCTTACCATGGGGCACATTGAGACTCTTTTCCTGAGCCTGACAGGTGCTGGGCCTCGAGCCTTTCCTGTGATCTGACAGGAGCAGGTGATAGGCCGGGTTGTTTAACAGCAAGGCTGGGAGAGCACAAACGCACACACACACACAGATACACACACACACACACCATCGACACAAGACGAGGTGGGCCACGGCATAAAGTAGACAGAACAAAACAAAATAAGGTCCTGTTAGCATGTGGTGACTGATCAAACAAGAGGATGAGATGCAAGGTGGAGCACACGGCAAGCACGTGCGACGGCAAGGCGGGTGAGCGCAAAAACAAGGCCAATTGGCTGAAAGCATCTTTTGGAGTTGAGTTATTCCAAAGCGGAGGGATCTGGCGGAGACGGCATGCCAACCTCCTGTGGTGCACAACAACTGCAAGCGTACACCCCCCCGCCCCGCTTTTCCCTTCTTTCCTCATTCTGCCTTCCTCCTTTTTTTTTTCTCTCCTCGGAACAAAAGCGGTTTTGTGCCCCTCTTGAGCGGCGCATCCTCACACAGGCGTTCTTCCATGCGGATTTGGCTTACTTGTGCACACTGTGCTGAAACACTTCACAGTAACAACAACAACAAAAAAAGTTGACTTCACATGTTCTATGTCACGCGTGTCAAACTCAAGGCCCGGGGGCCAGGTTTGGCCCGCCAAAAATGTCATTTTATGTGTCCCTCTAAAGCAAATTGTGGGTGTCAACTATCATGATGCTTGGTAAAAAAAATTGTGTCCAAGTAATAATACGATGTGATGATGAAACGTGAATTCGGTTTCTGTCGTCAAGGCCCTCCGAGGGACGACGTCACTCCAAAGTGGCCCACAACAAAAATGAGCTTGACACCCCTGTTCTATCGTATTGGGACGCACACCTCTTCAATCAATTTATGGAGACATTTTGGACAAAAAGGATTTGAGCGAATGTAAACAAAGCACATGTTCCAGACACCGGTGGCTCGCATTATCTGAACGTCTGAAGACGCAACGGACGTGAAGCCGTGACGCACGATTCGACATCATCACAATTTCCACATTTGTATTCCCGCTCCCAAGCATTTGGCCAACGGGACAAACTGACCAAAACAAAAATACAAAATGACGACACTGACAAGGAGCACTGAAATCACACTGAAATCATCGGCTAACCTGACTCTTGAACTCACTCATGAGGCTACGCCCGTTTAAGACACGCATCCAACACACAAATACTACAGTATGTACGGTGATTACACAGTATATTTCTTTAAACACAGCAAAAAAAAAAAAGTGTCGAAACTGATGAACTGAAACAGAAACTGTCATTTCAATTCATTTCAAAGGTGATTTTTTTTTTTTTTTTTGGGGGGGACCCAAGTCAAAAATGTGACAAATTTGGTCGCAGAACAAATTAGGTCAAGCTTACCACCTTATTTTCTTCTGCTTTTACTCGCAGTCGCTGTCATGGCCAGGCGTCCCAATACTTTTGTCCACACAGGCTGACAGGGTTTCGAGCGACATCGCAGGCCAAAAAACGCTTTTGCATGCTTGAAGATTTCCGAAAAGGACAAAGTGCATCGAACCCACCTGTGCTGTCGCGGCGGTCCCGCGGGTGCAGCAAGGCGCTGGGCTCCTGGTACTCGCTTTCAGCCTCCCGCTCGGGGTCGTCGGGGAAGGTGTGTATGCGCTGGTAGCGGCTGGAGTAGCTGTGCGTGTTGTTGATAACCACGTTGTCGGAGGGAACCGACAGGTGCACGCGCAGCTCCTCGCTCGACAGGCCGCCCTGAGCCTGCGGCAAACGGGGATGAATTCTCTCGTCGTCATTTGAATGACCGCACGAGAGCTACAAGGTGAAGCTCACCTGCTGACGCTCTCCCTTATTTGCTGGAAAAACTCATGTCATGTAAAAGTAGTGCTTTGGTGCCATCTGGTGGCATTTTGGTACACAAAGAACGAAGTTTGTGACGAATCGAAAAAGGCAATGACAAAGTGCCGCCATTTTGACACTTGCATTCTTGCGGCCGAAGGGTGGGCTAGCCGAATGTGCCCCGAATGTGTGAAATATGTGCTTTGGCTCAATAAAGGGTGGCTAACACTCGTCTGGTCTTTATATATGTGATAATAGTTTTGGATTTTCCATTATAGTTACTTTTATTTCATTTTGACGTTTTGTTTTTTTGTAATTCAGTTAGTCGTAACTGGTTGCACTTGACAGGCTCCACATTAAAAAAAAAAAAATCTAAAACCAATGCTCAAACTAAAAACTAAATGAAGCATTAAAAAAAAAAATCATACTTTTAAAAATAATGATCAAACCAACCTGCCCTAAAACAACGAACAAACAAAAAAACCTACCTGCATTAAAAAAACAAAACAAAAAAAAAAAACAACAACCCTAAATTCAAAACCAACCACAATAAAACATGCCAAAGTATTCTAACCTTCGTACAGAACTCCTGAAATCAAACTGGTGCGCGTAACGAGAGGCCAAAGTTCACAATGTTGTGCTAAACAACTCCGGGACGTTCTGCGGGTATTGGAAACGCACTCTCGATTCCACACACCGACTGGCTGTCGCGATGCCGCATCATGCTACATGATCGGCACAAAAGCAAATTTCCAAGAGTTGGCCCGACTTGCGCCGTTGCCAAACGCGTCTTGGCTTTGGCGACGTCGCAAAGCCACGACGACGCGGGCGCTCGGAAGCTCACCTTCCCCAGTAACTTCTTCCAGTACTGCCGCCACAGAATGACGGCGATGACGGCCAGCAGGAGCAGGATGATGCCCACCAGGCAGCCGATCAGGATTGCCGTATTGCTGCTGTCGTCTTTGGCCACGGGAAGCCCCGCCCTTGGAGACACGGCGGGAAACTCGGAACCTGCGACGGAGGGCGCCAGCAAGCGGGTGAGCGGACCTCCGGTCGGGATGCGCGCAGTGTAACGTTTCCGTTGGCGGCCGCACGCGCACACACACACGCATGCGCGCGCGCGCGCACACACACACACACACACACACACACACACACACACACACACACACACACACACACGTGACCGGGGGTGACTGATTCATACCACACAGGCCTCCGCTCGGAGAAAAGAATGTGAAAATTCCGCCTCTCCTTTTCTACACACAATGTATCAAACTTGAAGGTCATTCAATCCCCTCTGAAGGTCGTATGAGGCATGCAGGTATGCGAGAACAAACACCAGCGCCAAGAATGACAAGACCCCTCCCCCCCGGACCCCCTCCACACACACATCGGCCTGTCAGCACAATCTCGGTAATAAATCCTCAGATTAACCCCCCCCACCCCGCCACCAACATGTGAACAAAGCATGCCACATAGTCTCCTTCCATCTTAGTTTTTAGACTTTTCCAGACTTCAATCCGTCCAGGTCATGCGCACAAAACACCAGGGGAAGCCATTTTGTTATTGTCCACGAACATGTTGCGCGCTAGCGTTTTTCCTGTACACACTGGAACCTCTAAAGTCGGAATGAAACCGTCAAAAAAAAAGTCCTGACAATGAGGAAAATGATCAGGAGATGCTGGGACTATTGTCTGCTCGGCTGTTGGTCTTTAAATCATGACATTTATCCATGACCTGAGATTCAGGATGAATTCTCAAGCGTTCCGGGAAATATTATCTGTTGCTTCGGAACTCATTTGACGGCGCTTCACAGTGCGACCTGAAGCCTACTGCAAAGGCAAGCAAAGGGCTGCGGAAGGTGGCAAAGGAGTGGAATCACTCAACCGCCTGACCTGAATGCAAATTTGAGGTGCTGAACACCAAAGTGAAAGCAACAAGTAGGAAGTGCGGAAGGCCGCGGTCGAGGCCTGGCCGACCATGAACAGGGGACGAAAACCAGCATCTCGTGATGTCATTGACACGTTCCAGACTTCGGGCCCTAACGGACTGAGAAAGTGTGAAAAAGTGAAAAAAAATTTGGTTGATGATTCGTCCCGTTGCTCATGGGCCTTCCAACCTTTCGATTTTTCTCACTGACTGAATGAAACTCTTCAGCCAAAGGAATGTGCCTTGTGCTCCAACTTTAGAGGCTCCGGCGGAGTGAACAGAGGCGAGGAGGCGG